CAGTTGGACAGGTGTACCTAATAAAGTGGCCGGTGAGTGTATATGTGTGTGTGTGTGTGTGTGTGTGTGTGTGTGTGTGTGTGTGTGTGTGTGTGTGTGTGTGTGTGTGTGTACATCTACAGGATAAGTTGGGGATCTTTTCAAATGGCGGAACATTTTTGAAGTGAAATCGAATCTTATTCTCCATATTTTATTTCTGAAAATATCGGCGAAAATCGGCGAGTTTTGGCCGATTACCGATTAGTCTCAAACGGGCTAAAATTAACCGATTTAATCGACGCGCCGATAAATCGGTCGGGCTCTAATTACCTGTTATTTATTTGTCATTGTTGATATTGTCTTTTATATTTACTATCCTGTTTCCTCTTTCGACCCCCCTTTTAATTGCATTTTCTATTTTATGTTCTTTTGTTGGTCTTCATGGTCTTATTTTATGTTGCATGGTTCTTGTATGGGCTATTGTTCGTCATGACATGAAAATGACCTTCAATTCTGTTTCAACATTTCATTGTTTTAAAAGAATCCCGATGAGTGAAGTTTTTAACCCCGCGCTTGTGGATTTCTAGTGTGTGGCTCATGTGAATTCCCTGATTTGCAACCTCTTATGTGTGTGTTTGTTTGTGTTTGTGTGCACAGGAGCAGTACCAGTACCTTTACAAAGCCATGCTCAGCCTGGTCAGTAACAGGGAGTGCGGCCTGAGCCCCATGCACATGGACACTAACGGGGCGGTGGTGATCGCAGAAGAGTCTGACCCTGCAGAGAGCATGGAGTCACTCGTCTGAGGACTTTCTCACACGCACTTAATTTGTAAAAACAAAAAACAAACTCGAGAAACTTTTCAGAGGCCTTTTTTGCCAGACTATTGATTATGAATAACCTTATTACTTTTTATACTGATAAAAGTTTTTGATATTTATGTTTTTGTCCTTTATTTTCTTGTCTTATTTGTTATCCTGCTGAGCGTTTGCACCTGTTTTACGTTGACATGAGGAAAAAGCAGCTCTGTCCAGTTTGCACTATACTATCAGTGTTACTGCCTAATTCCAGTGAGTGAAAAAAAAAAAAACCCTGGCTTCACAAAAACAACCAGGATCTAACGGACCGCACTGAATCGAACTCTGAAGCATGAAGACCAGGAGGCGTTCAGGCGATCCACTTCTAACTATGTGTCAAACAAAAATCACACCACGACGTAGCCCAGCATGCATCAAGTCACTTTTTCACCTCGATTAAACTGTTTTTAGGCTCCGCCCACACGGGGATGAAGCCGTTTAATCACGTTAAGAGATGATTACCTGCCTAATATTCATTTACTGTCCAAATATCTCACTGCTGTCTTGTAAAATGTACTTATGCTTATTTTGTTTAATGTGTTACAACATCCAATGTGAACCTTTATTGCTTTTTACAGGGATTTATATTGTTATATTGTTTTGTAATATATACTTACGCATACATATTATACTGTATATCCTTCATAGCCAGCCATTGTTTTGTTCATTTGAATTTCACCTCTTTGTCCACTGGCCAAGGGTGAATATTATCATTTGCTTTTTTTGTTTTTTTGTAATTCTGTATCTTCCCATGATTCATTTATGAGCTCCATTTTTTAACGTTTTTTTTTTTTAGCTTTTCTAACCTCAGAGCTCAGCTGTCAACACGTGACGAGTCTTTCTGAACAAACCTCTTGTTGTATTTATTTACATTTTGAAAACACAGTGGGTGTACTGATGATTTATTTTTTGACACTTCAATAAAGGAAACTGCTTTAATTTCGAAGAGTAGACGAATTAAATGACTGTAAAACTGATTGCTCAAGTATTCACGCACCTGTAGACCATTTAAGTAAAAAAAATACACCAAGATTTTGACTGAATTTCGATTTAAGAAATGCAACTCAGCCGCTCTAGGATGTTAAAATCACTCTCTCAAACACAGTCCTGTGCAGCTCTGGCTTCTTTCGCTATATTCTCGCAAGCACGTGTCAAAACCAGCACCCTCCGCGGTTCGAAATTTTGAGATGATTTGACCGTAAAACCTTCAGCTATATCACACATTCTCCTCGCATGACTCTCTTTCCCACCAGAGGCTTGTTCTTTGCAGCTGGTTAAACGTCTCCAATCTCAGTCATGACACCCCACAGCTTCTTCAGAGCTCCATCAGCCTCTGCGGTCTCCCTCGCGCCCTCACCCCCTCCTCCGAACACGCTCAGTTTTGCGAGTTTGCTCCAGGCTGGTTTTAGAGCTGTACTATACTTTTTTTTAAAATTTTTTATTATACGAGGGATATCTGGAGCCTTGGAAATGTTCTCATATTCTCCATCAGAATCTCAACAGATAAATTTGAATGATATACCACGTCTGAATACTTGTGCAATCAGTGTCTATTTACTGTACGTGCTTATAGGCTGAAACTATCTTAAATACATCCATTGTGGTTCAAGTTTGTAAATGAGTAAAACATGATGGAATCCAAAAGAGGGAGTACTTCCTGTAGATGCTGTAGTTTCTTTCTAGAGGGTTGATGCTTTATTTGTAACCAAAGAAGTGGTTCCAGTTCGTAACATGTCAGTGTTTTATTTTTTATTTAATCGCCTACAAAAGTGTAAAATTTAGTCGTTTTTATCACCCGTGACAGCGTGTTTCTGATTTAACCTCAGGAACTCACCAAACAGTAAAACATCCACCGACACGAGGCTTTCCTCATTATAGAGATTAAGATTTAAATTGTAGACTGTAAAATGTATTTTATTTTGGCCAATATTCTGTTTTTTTAGCACTCTTTTGTGGCTAACCATCTTATTTTTATTCTGTGTGTCCCTGAACTTATTTTCTCTGTCACCTCTTGGGCAGAGGAGAGTTTGCTGAATTCAGCGAAAACTCTCCAACATTTGGAGAAAAGTCCAGATTCCCAATCACTCCGCTCTGCAACTTTAACTCTTCTTTGCCACATTTCTTTTTTTTTTTCTCCTGAATGAATGCAAGTAATCTCTGTTTGATATTTCTACGCTAGGTGAAGAAGACATGAGTGCTGTGGCTGAACACATTTACTTCAACAAACAAAATGTCTTTTAACTTTAATGTAACCTTTGTGATCACAGAAGTGTATATTTTTTATACAAAGATTTGGTTTGTATAGTGCCCCTGAAACTGATTGTAATTTTTTTGTGGAAAATGTATTATAAGGATATCCACAAGGAAAAAAAACGTAGTCGTGACTGCACCTGTGAGGACCATACTGTTGTTTAAACTGTTTTTTGTTGTTGTTGTTTTTGAGCTCTTTGGTCCAGGGATCCAGTATGACAGCCTCAGTGCATTTCAGCCAGGTTGGTAGTTGAGTTTATTTTGTAACTTAAATAAATGAAGAAATAGTTTTGTCCATCATATCACATGTTTATATGATAGTATCATAGCCATATATCTCTATGATGCTGCCATATACAATATCTCTAGTGTAATGGTGTTATTTAATAGGTAATTGTATTGCTATATATCAAATAAAGTTTGGGTTTGGGTGCACAGCATCCTCGTGTTACATGAAATTACTGATGGGGGAGTTTTGAGTGATAGCAAAGAAAAGTTTGGGTCATCATTTGTTATCTGATGCCGGTGTGTAAACTCACAGTAGTATGCGTGTGTCTGTGTGAGTGTAATTTTCATTTTAAGAACAAAATTAGCATGGTGTCATAATACTGTTACTGATTTGGAACTTAGCCAAAGTAATATTTAAATACAGCTTGTGAACTTGTCTGTTAAGTCTGTTACTGGTGGCAAGCAGTGGGAATAAAAAACAACAACATATTTTTAGGCCAAATTATGGTGTAGAAAAAAGGTACAAGCAGGCTAACCTTTGTTGTTGCTAAGGAGACGATGGAAGTGTAATCATCTTTTGTTTAAGCATTAGAGGAAGGCCTACATTTGTTTACAATTTATTATACACGCAATACTTTATGTATGTATGCCAAATTATGGGCGGCACAGTGTGGTGTAGTGGTTAGCACAGCAGGAAGGTCCTGGGTTCGAATCCGGCTCAGGGCGTTTCTGTGTAGAGTTTGCATGATCTCCCTGTGTCTGTGTGGGTTTACACCGGGTACTCCGGTTTCCTTCCACATCCCAAAAACATGCCTGAGTGGGGTTAGGATAATTGGCCACTTTCAAATCACCCGTAGGTGTGAATGTGAGTGTGGATGGTTGTTCGTCTCTTTAAGTCAGCCCTGCGATGAACTGGCGACTTGTCCAGGGTGTCCCCTGCCTTCGCCTGAAGATGCTGGGATAGGCTCCAGCCCCCCCACAACCCTGCAACCCCTAACAGGGATAAGCGGTAGAAAATGGATGGATGGATGAATGCCAAATTAGCCTTTGATATTTTAGACCGAAGTAATCATTAAAACGTGAATCTGCATCTATTCCTTTTATTTCTGGGAGAGTTGTCGTTTATCATTTTCAGAATGTACAGAAGACGAAAACGGCCATGAATTTTTCTTTTTTTTTTATCTCAATATAACAACTTAACTCATTATCTCAATATCATTAAGATAGCTTCCTCGTTATAGCGATTCTTTTAAATTATTTTGTCATAACAAAGGTTGTTTTCTTGTGATAACAAATTAATTGTAAAAAAGAGTCTTGTTTTTGTGGGCCAGCCACCATCCGCTGTCAACAGCAAGTCAGGGTTTTTAATTAAAAAAACGCAGACGTCGTGCTCCACTTTGGGCATGTGCATTACACTTTCATTGTGGAAACATTTAACTGCCATGTGCAAATTGGACAACAACGGTAACAATAGTGGACACATTTTTATTTCTTTATGACGGAAAATGATCTTTGTTATGTCAAGCTATATCACTGTCACGAGAAAGAGAAAAATCCATGGCCGTTCTCGTCTTCTGGAAGAATGTGCTTAGCGTGATTTTTTATATAAATTACATTTTTAAAAAATATTTCTACCACCAGTGCTAAAGTCAGACCTTTTATATCTGTGTCTCAGTAAACAGAAGAGAGGATGCACATGTACAGTAATTTTTATTTAGAGGCCACAGCTCTTGCATATTACAACTGTTGGCTTTCATAAGGCAAAAGCAAGAATGAATCCACCAGCTAATTCACACAGAAAACAGAAAGCGTTTGGGGAGGGTGGGAACCCACAGGCATGCAGCAATGGCTCAGAATGCAATGTACAGCATTTTATATTTATATATATATTTATAGAATATATACAAAACAACAGTGAGACCCAAACAAATGCCAGACATCTCATTCTACACAAGTACAGAACAAAGACAGACCAACTTTTTTTTCAATAAAAAAAATCGTTTTTTTGCTCTTTTCTCTGTAAAAGTGCAACTCAATTAAAATAGAACCTGTTTCGAGGCCTTTTAATGTTGAAATAAAAATAGAATCTCCCAGGTTATCAAAATGGAGCTATGAGAATATTGCATCTCTAGAATACCCACTCGTTGAAGTTCAAGATTCCTAATTAGTAATTGAGATAAGATCACATAGCATCGACACATGATAAAAATGCAGGTCTAGACTTACTGTCGATGTTGTTGAGAACAGTGAGTAGACGACAGTGTTTCTGTAACAGCCGTAAACAAATACAGAGGTTTCTTTTCAGTTTGAAGCAGTTGGCATTCACTTAAAAACAGACAAGACAAAGAAAAGGGTCCACACACTCATCATCACGACAATGTACCATTAATGAATGTAGAATACGACAAAGAAGCGCCATATAGGTTTTGCATTGGACAGGGACACACCTATTTAATCTCACTCAACATTGTCAAACAAATGGTTCTCCATATTGCTTAGTAACACATAGAAATGAATTTAGAAATGACTGAATCAAAGATAGGTGCTATCTTTATCATGACACAGCTAAACTGCCAATCATGGTTATTTTTTAAACATTTTTATTTAGATTTTCCTCAGCATAAGTACTATTTTTATAGTTAATAGTTCCTTCATAGGCATTTCGAGCTGACAAAGAGGTCCTAGAGTGGCTATCTGAGTTGGTACATGCATCGGTAACCAGGCTAAAGTCAAAAGTGTGAAAGGGGGATCAGGGTGAGGGTGGTTCAGTGTACTGGGCTCTAGTCGTCCTCTTCGTCCTCCTCATCGCTGTCCTTCATGGAGATGCCCTGCATGCCTCCTTCTCTCACTGAAGCGGTGGCCTCTTCCAAGGTCAGCCTGTTGCGCACGGTGTCATACATCTTACTGTTGAGGGTGGAGTCGAGGACACCCTGAAGGCGGAAGTCCCGGTACTTTTTCTGCAGGAGGACAAAGTTACGTCAGTGAGGGATTCTTAACTGCAAATAAAATATATTTAAATCATTACACTGTTTTGGTATCACGTGGGAGATTTTTCCTCAGACACTCAGGGTGGAAATTTAAACCTTTTTAAAATATGTTTCTGTTTTCCACTTGGTAACCCTATAAAGTTAAGAAGTCTAATAATCCTTTTTTATTAAAGTGCTTTACAACTGGCGAGGAATGAGTGGCCATATCTCAAAACACCAAGTTAGCAACAATCTGTTATCTACTACCAGACAACTGCTAACACAGTGCTAGCTTTAACTGCGTTAGCAAACCTTATTTTAGCTAGGACATTACTCCATTTTTGTTCTTTATTGTAATACTTCAAAAAGGTAGCTGTGACTTTTAGCTAATTGCAAGCATGGGTGTATGTTTGGGTGTCAATATTTTTTGAATACCCAAAAAGAGGACATGACTACGCAGGGGGCAGAGTCACGGCGTCGCGTGTAGTTAATTTTGAGAGTTTCTCGGGTTAGATCAAGTGTTTTTAACGCACTTCAAACTGAGCAAGTCCAGCGACGCAAACTCAAAACTTCCATACAAAACCCTGGACATTTAAAGGACTTTTTAAACTCCCCTGGACAAAGCCGCACAAGGCTGGACAGCCCCCCAAAAAAGAGGACATGTCCAGGTAAAAGAGGACTTATGGTTACCCTAATTTAATCTGAAAGGAAGGAGTGGCTATATCTCAAAATACGAAATTAGCAACAATCTTTTTTCTACTACTAGATGACTGCTAACACAGTGCCAGCTTTAACTACTTTAGCAAACCTTATTCTAGCTAGGATTTTATGCCTTTTTTGTTGTGTACTGTAGCTCTTCAAAAAGGTAGTTGTAACTTTGAGCCAATTATAAGCGTGGGTTTACGTTGACTAGAGGAATACTGTAAGCTAATGTTAGCCGTCATCAGAGCTAATAGGTTGTGAAGCATCAGTGGTCTTTGAGGACAATAAGCTCCTACAAAGAACGACAAGTGCTGTATGACAAACTCACGTTATTCAGGTTTTGACTTTCTAAAACGTCAGTGGATACAAAGTCTTTTTCACCCAACAACCCCTCTCTTTTTTTAGTCTTCCATTCAGCGCTCATTCACTACATCCAAAAACTTATGAAGTATGTTTTGACTTCTGTCTATCCTGTGCAACTGTAAAAAAGACGAAGGTGCAAGAACTGTTCCTATTTACAAATACAAGGCTCATCGTAAGCAAATATATACATACATTCAGCTGATAATATAAATTATTTAAACATACGTACTTCAAAATATTACATTTAATTTCTATCAAATCTTCTCTGTGCTGCTGTGCTGTTAACTACATACTGTACCTGAAGGCTTCCAAACCTGCGCTAGCGTCAAAGGAGAACTTTATTTAAGTGAAAACGGTCAAACACAGAGAAAACTGAGGAATAAGTTCTATTACTTTTCACTTCTTTCACAAAACAACCCTCACACATGATGAAAATGTCCAAATATTATACAGAAGTTCCTACAGGATGCCTCTCTGCTTTGATAGTGATGCTCAGTTTTCCCTGCACCTCTCCCTCTGCTATGTTCATCAACCTGGCAGGTGTGTTTCCTCCCTCTTACTTTTGTAATCCTGATGAGGATTTTCAGCTGGTAGACGTGGAGCTGCTGATCCATGCGTTCAGTGAGCCAGGTCCCCAGCAGGTTCATGGTGGCAGTGTACCATTGCTGAAACACATAAACACAACACTCTCCAGCAAAACACACACTCACACACATACTCAAGACAGCATAACACTAACCTATTAGACACACAGAAGAGCTGCAACTAAACACGCACAGTATATGACAGCGACATTATCTTTCAAGCACCCCGGTGTGTGTATTCAGGCAACACTTCAATAAAGTCTACCAGCAGCTTTAAGACATGCAACGTAACAGTTCACTTGTGTGTGCAGTCACACACCAGCTTGTGAGGATTAATGTTGAGACTTAAGACCACCTCACCAGACAGACACTTGCATTTTCTGAGCCAAAATCGGCTAATGCAAGTTAACAGACTTCATTAGAGCCAGAATAAAGAGAAGAGAAATAAATCTTATCAGCTAAAATGACTCACACATTACAGTCAAGTGTGTTTGTTTAAACAGTCTTTTCATTCATTTCATCTTTAAGGTCGTTTTTAAAATACTTTAGTAATCCTACTCTTTAAACACATCTTTAAGGTTTATCAATATTACAGACTCAATATAAAAGAACTGGGAAGACTGTTAAGTTCATATGAAGTTGAGATTCACCTGCAAGACTTTTTGATTCTGCACATTGAACACACGTTTCTTATTTCAACTTCAATCTTTTCCAAAAACCACAAACTAATATAAGACTGTAACAGAAATGGTGCAAAATCCTGATTGGTGCATGAATGCGTGTGATGCATTGCAGGAAATTGTGTTGACGGGGTGGCCGATGATATGGGAAGAATGTGGTAATTGACCCTCTTGCTGAGGGCTTGTTGAATGGAAAAGTACCACTGCACACTGAGTCGAATATAATAACAACAAAGAGCAGCTGCTTAGCTTAAAGGCACTGAGAGGTGATTTCAACTGGATTTAAGGTCACTCTATCTAAGGGGTGGGCAATTACTTTTTTACATGGGGCCACATGAGAAAGCTGAACTGTGTTGGAGAGCCGAACCAACAATAACTTCAACTTCAAATCAGAGGGGTTCACACATACAGAAAAGAAAGCCCAAAAAAAGCAAACCACGAGTTTTACAAGCGACTTCTGAGACAAAACAAGCCTAAAGTCATTTATAACAAGTGGACTTGGCAACTATGAGGCGTCTACGTATATTTTGCCGATGTTTAAACTTGGCTCCGTTCACGAATTCAGATCTAGGATGTAAGTTGAAAAAAAAAATACTCTCTATAATAAACACTCACCCAGAAGGTGCTTGCAAAGTTTGTTAGAAAGTTAGAAAGTTTGCAAGCCTGAAAGTTTTTTTCTTTAGATACTTTTCTTTATACATAATGTTTCAAACACTTGGCTGATCCTGAGCAAGAATAGCAATAAGCTGTGTAGCTTGTGTCATAGTGTTGAAAAGACAGAGGAACTCTACAATCAGGGCTTTGTTGGGCTTTAAATAGAACTTAATGTTGACGCCTTCCCAATGTCTAATTGCATACTTACAGTGCCCAGCATAAGTCAGTACACCCCTTATTAAAAGTAATGTATTACTCAATATCTAGATGAGCAAAAGTACAATTTCCAAAGTTTTGACAGAGCTGAGTTCAACATAACATATTGTTTACCATAAGATGAAAATAAGGGTGATATGGTAACTAAAATTTAACTTTGCTCCCAGAACTTTGATTAGGGTGTACTCTTTTTTGCATCCTTGTTTGCAATCACTGGCCTACATTTGGGGGAGTATTTTAAAATTGTAAAGTCTGACAAAGAAAATGTTGATTTTGAAAGGAAACTACAGGTTTTCTGACAACTCTGAAGGGGTGTACTCATTTATGCTGAGCACTGTACTTATTGTAAGCTACGAAAGAGTAAAAAAGTCAGAGTTTAAAAAGATTTTTTGGTGCCAGGTTACAACTACTATTTTTAGAAAGCTACAAATCAAAACGTAACTTCATCACACTGCAAAAATGTATCTTTAAAGACTTAAAGGCAGACCTGTATCACTGTCATTTCCACCCCAAATAAACCCTCTGAGCTGCATATTTAAGACAGTGTGCGACGGAGTCTTCATCCATGAATATCCTTAAAGGGGAGGAGTCATATGACATTAAAATCCCTCACGGTGCCTTTAATTCAGCATGGGGATCAGGAGAGAACTACACAGCTGGCCTTACTATGATCTATGGGAACAATCTTCATCTACTTGCAGCTTTAAAATGAACAAAACTTTAATGTTTTGTTTAAAAAAAAAAAGAAAAGACAAAACTGTTACCGCCTTAGAAATGATATATCACACATCCACTTCAGGTACTTACACTTGGGTTCATTTACATGTAAAAAATGGTGGTGTCAATTTGACAAACGCTATAATTTTATAAAGAGGAGAGGGATATCGATCTTCATATCTTTTTCCTGACAGGAAGGTTGAGTTCATTTTGAATTTTAGGGGCTTTTAAATCTATGAAGGATAAAGGTTTACCTAACAATACCTCACATTTGTCTCCCACATTTGAATCTAAATCAGCTAAAAATGAAAACAGATGCTTTAAAATCAAAATTTCTGATGAATCCTATTATAAGCTACATCTCTCCTGAATTTTAGCCTCACTCCTTACAGCACAGATAAACTTTGCACTCATACTTCCTCTCACAGACGTACACAAACACACTGAGAGTTTGACATGCGCACAAACTCTGAAGAGCTGAAAAGAGCAGTTTCAAGAGGAAATACTTCGAGCTCTGAGACTACTGCTACTCGAAGGAGGAAAAGAAAATAAACAGGGAACTCATAAACGTTGACAGACTTATCTATCTTAAATTGTAATTACCCAATTAAAGGAGTAAGAAAGTCAATATTTTTACAAAAAGCTGCATGGCCCATCAATTATGAAAGGCAATTACTTAGCCTTTATTTATAATTTATTGAAGCAGAAATGCAGAGCTGCATTCAAAACCCCGCTGAGGAGTGCAAACAGCTACTGTATGGGGAGTTGAAATTATAGTTTTGACACAAGTTCATTAGCAAAAGAAAAACAGAATGAGAGTGAGTCAATGGTTAGCAGGCAGGGAGCAGCGGTGCTATTTTCTTGTACCTTTTTCTCCGCTTGGCATTTGTGCTGAATCAAGTTACAAGAGAACAGCACCCAGGTCTACTAGAAACAGTCGTCATACCTTTGATTTCAGGAAAAAGAAGTCAACTTTAAACATGTGAGTAGGCAGGAACGCAGACAAGCTTTCTTAGGGTCTGATTGAGAAGAGTGAGGATTTCGTTCGTTTGGTTTGTCGAGGTTTCGTTTGGATCAAGATTAAGTGAATGGTCGAAAGGTTTGGAACTTGAGGCCGGATATGCAGATGCCTGTCCACTTCACAGTCGAGTTGAGCGTGCAGTGCATGCAGACCTCGCAGGTGGGTGGGTGGCAGAGTACGTGCTAAGGAAGACTGCTGTATGTGCAAATGAGGCAGAACTCTGAGGAGGAGGGTCATGCTAGAAGATGTACACAGGAAGATTATTTGACTCTAAAACTCATGCCAACCAACATAATGTGAGAAAACAACGCAACGCAACACTAGAGATAAGTGCCACTTTTTTTGGAAAGAGGAGGCAGCAGGAATGGTGTTAATCAGAAAAAGAGGAGATAAAAAGGATTGAAATCAATTCAGTGAAAGAAAGAGAGATAAGGTAGAGCCTATGCAACACACCAAGGAACGTTTTTCACATGCATGCGAATGGATGGAGAGATGGGAGCGCATTCAAATGAAAGAGAAAACATTGACATCCTGAGAACTGAAATAAAAACGCTGAAACTGAAACATTCACAGCTTGAGAAATCTTCAGGAGAATTTAACATGACAGTGCTGAGAAGGATTTTGGTGACTTTGGGGGGCCACACAGAGGACACAGAGGGAAGGGAGGGGTGGGGGGACTCCAGACTATAAAAAACTGACAAAACAGAAGGAGACAGGGGAGCCGGTGTGGATCCAAAGACAAAAGCAGACCCACTTCACAACAGCATCACTCCTCACTCCAAAAGAAAGAAAGAAAGTAATCATATATGTCTGGCACAAGACTCCTGCTTCTTCAGCCAACACAAAAAATATATCAAACCAAAGAGAGACTTCAGAGAGTCTCTCAGACATAAAAAACTGTCAGACACGCCACGGCCTCACAAAACCGAGAACCTGTCACACACACACACACACAAAGCCATCACACACCTGTAGAGACACAGGTCTGTACAAATAGTTTCTGAATGACATGAAGCACACAAATCACAGCATTATGTGTCGTTCAAAACACACATGGAGGACACATTACTGCCAATGTATCCTGTTTAGGATTATATATTAGTAAGTCAGTGCTCTCTTCACCCTCCAACACACTGGTTCCCAACCTTTCAGGACTTCGACCTTTTTTTTAACCACTTACTACACCAAAACTGATAATCCGAGCTGTACAACTACAATGATGTGTCTTGAACGTTTTCTTTATTTGAGTGCCTTGCAGTCTGTTGCACCAGGTTATGGGGTTCAACCACAACTCATACACATCTGCCTCTTCTATATCTGTGTATCTTTTGAATAGTTTTTACCGCATACTGTTATTATCCAGAGAGGAATTCACTGATAACCAATTTGGTCACCAGTATAATAAAGTTTTGAGCTGGAACCAATGCAGTTATTAAGTTATTGAGTCTAATAACGTTCTCAAAATATGTGTGAATGTCATGTTATGGTGTAATCTTTTATATGCTAAGTTTTAATAGTTTTTCAAACAGTGCAAAGAAAATTGGTGAATTCAGGAATGGACGAAAAAGGTTATGACATCAATGAATGAGCTTGAGATATTTGTTCATGATTATCGCGATTCCTTCTTAACTTCTCTAATTTCTCTGAATCGCCCGCAAGTGGTCCAAAAAGCTGCAGCTGAGCTCCTGATGAAATCACCCAGAGAGTTTCATGTCACACCCGTCCTTAAGTCTTTGCACTGTCTCCCCATTCAATTCAGAATCCAATTCAAAATACTTGATTGTGCACAGGGTGTCGCCTGGTCAAGCTCTCAGTTATATAAGAGACCTGCTGAAGCCGTTTAACTCTGGCTGGACTCTGAGATCCTCAGACCAGAGGTTTTGGCTCCTAAACTGTGAAACTAAGAGCTGTGGACAGTGTGGGTGTTTTTAAAAAGCTGCTGTCTAGACTGTTTATGACCAGTATTTATCTGCTTGTATGTAATTTATGTCATGTTGTTTTATCCTTTGAATTTGTTGTTGTGAAGTACTTTATTATTATTATTATTATTATAAAATATAGCCTTTTCACTTTTAAAACACCTGTTTACTTTAGCCTTTGGGGTAGTATAGTTGCTTTTGTTGTTTTTTTTATTTTATTTATTTGCTATGTTTATCTATATTGTTCTTTTATGTTTTTATATGTATATGCTTTTTTTAATTTATTTTTTTAATTGTTTATGGATATTTTACTGTAAAGCACTTTGGTCGGCCATTGACTGTTTTAAATGTGCTATATAAATAAAGCTGATATTGACATTATTATTGAATCACTCTAGGTGTTTTTCTTTGTATTATATCTTTAGCACGAAAAAAAAAACGCACCCTGCCGAACATTTTTTTTTTCCCCAATAGGCTGATAACAGTCAATTTTATCCCCTGATGAATAATATTTCAGTCAGGTATTTGGTTTTGTCTGTCAAAAGTTAAAATTTCTTGATGTCTCCTAACACGAGTCAGATTCTGCTCCCTCTAGATTAACAGCTTCATCATCACATTAGCTGGTATTGGCAGGTAGTTGGTTCACTTTGACTAGCGTGACCATACCGACATGTCCTCTTTTTTGGGGGCTGTCCGGCCTGACCAGCCTTGTCCGGCTTTGTCAGGGAAGGTTTATATAATCCTTCAAATGTCCAGAGTTTTGTATGTAGGTTTTGAGTTTGTGTCGCTTGGACCTACTGCATTAAAAGCACATAAAAAAAACTTGGTTTGACCCGAAAAACTCTCAAAATTAACTACACACGACTCCCTGACTCTGCCCCCCGTTGTCATGTCCTCTTTTTAGGAATTTAAAATAAGGTCACCTTACTTTAACTGACATGAGATCATCAAATCCAACTTAATCAAAGCTCACCCGTCTTTTAAATTCTTACATGTGGGCACATGCAAAATGAGGTTCTGTGTATTTTTAGTCTAAAGTTTTCTTTCAATTTTATGCCAGTACCAAAAGACGTGCAGGAGCGCGATATCGTTTGCATCTACACACGGAAATGACCTTAACTGTGATCTAAGTGCAAATGTATGTTCCTGCAAACAGCCAGCACTTAAGTGCTTATGTTGACTGTGAATGGAGAGCCCTGTTTGTCATTTAAAGCACTGTCTACCAAACAGATGCAACAGCCTGTGAAAAGCATCTCAAACAAGATCATGATATTTCAGAGAGAAGTCATGTAAAATCGATCTTATTCTGTGAGTCAGTGAGGGTTTTCTTCTTTTAAATCAGATCATGACCGTTCAGACATCTCTGTTTTAGCTCGGCGAGGTCTCGACCTGCAGGTTAGGAACCAATGCTCTAACAGAAAGGGTATCTGACATGTCAGCCTCCATGTCTGACATCATTCTGTCACCCTGGTCCAGCAGTGCATCTCTCACCCAACATCTTCAGTTCACAGAGAAACTGCGTGGGTGCTGTGCTGTGCTGTGGGCCGAGGCCGAGCAGGCTGAGTGTCGTTCATTCAGGAGGCTGACATGCTGAAAGTGGAAAGTCTCTGGAAGCACAAAAGTACGGTGGTGAGCTCAAAAAATAGAAGTTGGTGTGCTGGGATGTGGTCACTATGGATAGTTTTGTTCTTTCCAGAGAGCACTGCTTCAGATAATCCTTTTTTTTTTTTTCTTTTTTTTTTTGGAGAATGCTTTTATGGACTCTTTGTAAATAAAAGTTTCCTTTTTTCGATACACAAAGGCCCAAAAGCACTGTGGCAATGCACACCAGAATGCAGAGGGCAGCAGCTGAAGTTCAGAGAGAAGAGAGACAGAAAAGAAAAGAAGAGTCAAGAGTGGTAGAGGATCAGAGAAGCCTCTTCTGCCAGGTTGAAATACATTTCCTGGTCTCAAAATGGGACTTATCCCTCTCTGCCCTGTTGTTTTGCCACATTTTGAAAGGCCCCTCCCTTCTTGTGAGGAGGAGACGGCATCTTACTTACATCAAATAACCTTTCTATATACACCTCCTCATTGACCTTATCACGCAGCATGTCCTGAGAGTGGCGCACAAAGGTCACGTAGCCATCGGCCACGTCCATCCCAGGTTTCTGTAAGAGAGAAGAGGGTCAGGGCTCAGAGGACACGAAAAAAAACACCAGAAACCTGCAGCTGTCTAAAAACAGCTGAAAAAACTCTGTTGAGTGTTTTTTCAGCTGTGTTTAGTGAATGTGCACAACCTTTTTTTTTTTAAATACACACAGAGAGAGAGGCTGTTATTTCACTTACAGGTACATCCACATATTTAGAGGCAGCTTTCACCTGAAATCAGAATAAAGTTGTCAAACCACAGCTTCAAGTCAAATGTCAAAGGCTCAGTTTTTCAATCCCAAAATTATTTACTATTACTTTAATCAAAAGAAAACTTAACTTTGAAAAATAAAGGCATGTGTTATTACCTAACCATTTTAATTTCTGTTGACATGAGGAAAAATGTATAAAATGACTTTTAAAGGTAAAATACAGTCTTAGAATTAGATTAAAAAAAGCTGGAAGCTACAGACATATATGAATCTAAAGGTAACACTTTACTTGACGCCTATCTCTATAACACATCATAAATTTATGTCTAATGTGTTATAATCCTGTTATAGCACTGTATAACTATAGTTATAAACACTCATAAGTGATCATAATACTTTATAGCAATAATTATAACACAATATAAAGCATTTTATCACGACTTACAAGGTCAGGTATTATAATGTGTTATAACTGTTATCAACACACTGACAATGCCCACATAGATAATGCATTATACATGTATTTATGATGTGTTATAATTTGCTTATAAACTTTTATAACCATCATTATAAACACTCATTAATTATCATAAGGCTTTTTCAAAATAAGCACCTGAGCTTGTAAGTCATGATAAAATCTTTATAATGTGTTATGATTACTGATATAAAGCATTGTGATCCTTTATGAGTGTTTAAAACTAGTTATACAGTGCTATAATGTGATTATAACGCATTATATATAATTTATAATGTGTTATAGAGATAGGCGTCAAGTAAAGTGTCATCAATCGAAATCAAAGTTTTGTAGTCTTTTACTAATTTAATCCTATATAACGAGATTATTTAAGACAATATGGCATAAAAAGGAGTAAACAGAGACAAGCTCATCTCACCGTGAAAGAGAGGAATGAGGAGAAGAGAGTTCCTTCATCGTATCTGGAAATCTTTGCCAACACACCCTCCAATATGGCAACAAACTGAGAAACAAAGGAAAAAACAGGAATTATCAATAAGTAAACAAGACTGAAACTGAAAGCAATAATTTAAATTAAAAAAAAAGTGATATTGATGAGAATTTAACTCTGTCATGAAACAAAGTATGAAACAAAACTGGGGAATAACAGCATGAGATGAAAGTAGTGTGAGTACAGAGTTAGTACAGTCTTTCCTCAGGGAGGCTTAAATTAGTAGCAGGATAATCCGACCAAAAGGCGATGGGACATTTTACTCAAAGAAACAAATAAGAAACTGAAGAAGGTGCTGAAGAATATCGAAGAGGAAAGTCGTGAAGATTTTCAAATGTCAGCTGAAAATGGACTGATTCTGTTAATCAGTGTTTGTCATCAGGGATCAGCCTCTGAAGACCAGGAAAAACTTAGAAGATTTTATATGATTCCTTTCTGTGATGCTCAGCACACTCAAGTCTGAACTAAAAAGAGCTTAAAATCTAATTTGTGATTTTTGTTTTTCTTAGGATTAGTTGGCAGAGTAATACTTGAACTGTGTCACCTTTGCAACCAGGAGTTGAATCATGTCTCTCACGCTGTCTTCAATCAGTTCGTCGATGTGGGAGTGGAATTGTTTCTGCAAAAGAGAGGGCAAAGTTTGAACTTTAAATCAACTTAAAGATTTTCTTAAAAACCTAAAATAAAAGTCCTAATAGAGTCCATCTCTTTTCAACATGAGTCTCTGTCCCTGATGAGGAATTTACCTCTTGGCCCATTTCCATCGCACACAATTTAGCCGACTGGTCCTTGGCGTCCACCATCACGTTGAACATGGTGCATAATGTTGGAGAGATGCGGAAATCTGTGGATTTGCTGCTCTTTGTCAGCTTGGACTCAAATGCCATCCTGGTGCTGTAAAGGAGGCAAAGTGTTTATCAAATATTAACAACTCAGTAAACCCATCATAATTCATATTTGATGCTTCTAATAGGGGTATCACGATTTTGATTTTTTTATCGAAACTACGTCATGGTCTCTGTGAGTTCTCATTTTTGTTATTATCATGTTTGTTGTTGTTGCTTTTACTTCACTGAAAGCAAGATTGTTAAATAAACTATTTAAATTTGACCATTAGTGCCTAATCTGATACATTACACAAGAATTATGGAAATTGCATCACTTGTATGTAGCCCATCTTTTGAAATAAGATTCACTGAACAAAATGAAATTAATAAAACCAATAATCGTAGACTAGACTAGTCTATAAATGGCATCGGCCTCTGTGCTGTAAGAAAATGAAAAACATTGTAATTGAATTGTCACCCTAAAATCAAAAATCAAATCGAATCGAGGATTTGTAGAATCGTGACACCCCTTGCTTCTAAATATTGGGCCACTCTTCTTCTCACGCAGAAACGCACCGCTTGACGCAGTTCTCGATCATGTTGCTTGACATGAGCTTGATGCGACTCTCGAGATGTTTGGCGAACTCCTCCTCGGGCCAGTGGAGGTCCCTGATGAAGGTCTGGAGGGCGTCCAACTTCCAGAAGAGGTCCTCTGATGATCCGGAGCCATTACTGCCATAAACCACGCACAAACAGACACACACACAAGCGCGCGGGTCAGAGGGCAAAAGGTCAACTTTTAGGAGGAGGGAGTTGGGAAGAGCTGCGAGGGGAAGGAGGAGGAGGAGGGTGGTGTGGCAGGTGCAGAGGAGGATGCTGTTCCTCCACACCTCAGCACAGTCAGACTGAGCTCCTTACACCATAAACTGACTGTGCAACGTCTGCTTCTAGTGGACAGTCAGTGTATGAGTGAGAAGGAGCGGGCGGGGGGTTTACTGTAACAAATCAATAACCATGCTGTAGAGTATGGTTATTGATCGGGATGTGAAGTGGCCACATGCAGGTAGAGTCACTGCAGGTACAGCAGCTGATCACACTGTGTCAAGACAAAGGTGTGGGAATGGAGGCGTAAGGGAGGGTATGTAACAATGGTATCAACAGTACAGAAAAAAGCACTTTTTTTTAAGTTAAATTTCCCTCCACAAGCCCTCCCTCACCATCCATGTCCCCGGGTTGGTGAGGCCCCTGGAAGTGTTACCAAAACAAACCATGCAGACCTTTAAAGGCACCGTGAGCGGAGCTGATTGGGAGACAGCTTCAGGATAGATGTTGAGTGTGGAGTGGAGATGATAAAACAGAGCTATCATCTCCCATCCAGCCCATTATCTCCCCTCCCAATCAGATCGCTAGCAGGTGGTTAAGGTCAGGGATGAACCTGAGGCCACGAATGTTTTACAGTACGCTAAAGCAAATGTGTGTGGACAACAACCCTGAGGAGATACACCTTTTTAATGCAAGGAGATCTTGCAAAAGTTGTCAAATGGGGATTTTTTTTTTTCCTGCGTGGCAAGTCCCCAAACAGCCTTCGAGAAATATGTGATATCAATATTTGTTTTTGGTTTTTTTTTGGCCTGTATCTCCACACCTCAGCTCAACAGCATGCATGTTGAGACAAATGAGAGCATTTCAGCCTCTCATTTTTCGGAAGCAGTACCCCATCTACTCTAACACCTCTCAGAGCGCTCTTGGCATGAACATGAGCATCAATGCAGAAGATTCACACATAATGTAAACATATCTGTGCATTAAGAGTGTTTTTATTCACACTTTTCTCAAGTTTGAGCTGAAAAAATGCACCTTTTTTAGGTTTAAACAAAGTTTGGCTGAGAGAGCATCTTCATACCAAGGCAGTCTCTGCTAGTTTTATATTTCCAGAGTGAACTAGTTGAATACACACTCAGAGTCATATATAGCAGCCATCCATGACGGGGTAGAAAAGCTAGGCATTTGTGGAAGGTTAACTGATAGTCCTGCTACTGGCACTGGCAGATTTGGTACTTTGGGAATTTGGAGGTTCACATTTGGTAGATTCACATTGGGCAGATTACTTGTTAAACTCCTGCAGAAAAGACAGACAAAAAGAAAAAAAAAAAGAATCCATAACAGTGGCATGGGAGCTGCAGAAAGCCATGTAACACTCATCATAGAAGTAACACAAAGTCTGAAATTAGGTAAAGACAGTAAACGAAGACTGATGGTCATTGTCAAGAGACGTATAATACAAAGAGCAAAGTGGTCTCGAGTCAGAATGCACACGAATACATGTAATAAATGCAGTGAGAAGAAGCAGTACTTAAAGAATAAACATAAAGACCAAGAAAAAGCACATTACTTGTTAAAAACCCTCAAATAATAAATCTAAAGTGTGAAAGCCACGACAAATAAATTAACACAGCAAAATGAAAGTCTGGGCGCTTTTGTTTCTGGCGACATGACAAAGCACACGTTATGGAGGTTAGTTTACACAACAAAACAACAGAAATATTAGCTGTTGCCCTGACCCCAATATGTTGGGGAGAACATACATTAGTCAACATCTATTTTCAGAATAAACAACCTATTTCTTTCGCAGAAAAAAATAGGTTATTCAGCCCACTCTTGGCTCGTTGTTTTAAAGTGAACCTACAGGAAGCCCGGGTGAACATTACAGCTGCTCTCCCAGATTGATCAGTCTCCACGCAGTCGGGCTGTCATCTGAAAATAAAGCCTTGCATCTCCCACCAGCCTACAGCCTAGCTCTAAAGACGGAGGATCCTTACTTTACAGGCTCCCAGGACTCTCGGTCAAAGCCCTTGTGAATTGACTGTGCGATGGAGGACTCCATCAGATCCACATATCTAACCACCAGAGGAGCATACAGATCCTGAAGGTGTTTGTGGAACTTTCCGTTACACAGATGATCTGGGATGGGGGAGGGAAAGTGACAGGCAGATATTATTTTCCTTTGTCTAAGCCAAAAATAACTGAACGCTTCAAAGAAGAGTGAGAGCTTACAGTCTGTCCGTAGGAAGTCGTTGAGCAGCTGGAAGAGGGGGAAGCTGTCCCAGCTCTCAGGGGACTGGATCTCCAGAGCGGCGTCCATGTCAATGGCGTAGAGAGCCAGGAAGTTTTCTGCGTGCTCCACCATGAGGTCTGTCCACCATGCAAATGCCTAGAGACACAACAGGACATCAAACAGGTGAACAAAGACTTCAGTGAAGAAATGAAAAGAAAAAAGGAAGAAGAAAAGTGGTCGGGACTTTAACACATATCTACTGAATCTGTGTATTTCCGACTGTGTGACTCTAAGTATAAAGTTCAACATTTAGAAAATATGCTAATGTGCTTTCTGGCTGAGAGTAAGATGAGAGGATTAGAAACTCCTCCTCCATGCTGAACATGAAGCCAGAATCAACCATAGGTTAGCTTAGCTTAGCAACATTGACTGGAACTTTTAGTAGGGGGTTCATTTAGTCCATGTTTCTGATCAAAAATAGAAAAAAAAAAAAAAATTTAAACATGTTTTTTTTAACTTTAGTACTTTGGAAGTGTGTTGGAAAAATTCAGCGACCAGTTACCTCTTGCTCCCAATCCTTATGCTAAGGTAAGCTTACCAGATGGGGCCTACACCAGCATTTAAACACAGTATTCAGAGAGATGGGTAACAAGAACCAGAAGTTTTGGTACCAGACACGTCAGTACCAGGATATCCGTACAAACAGTACTGTCACCTAATGTTCACATACAGTCTTATTTATTCTCATTTTCAATCATTTGTTCAGTCCTAATGTTGTTGGCATCTTCCCCATAGACAGAGCAACAACTTTGCATAATCATGATCTCATAAGGGACAAAGTCTAGTGGTCTTTATATTGATGAGCAAAGGATCTGAAAGTTTATCAAATTCAACTACGGTGCTTTTTTGCCCAACTTCATGAAACACAAGTTAATAACTCTGAAGAAGTGCAGCCTTTCAGACTGTTATCGCTAGCTTTACTCTAAGTATATCCTCAGTGCAGCCTTTAAAGACCCACTCCGATGAAAATCATGTTTTTCTTGTTTTTTTATGTTCATCAAAAAATAGAGAGCAAATGGAAAGCATAAAATAAGTATTTTTATATTGATAAGAAGCATTAGAATCAATATTGGTATTAATAAAATCCTCACAATACCCATCCCTGAAGACAAAAAGACTCACCATCACACCTCCCTGGATTGTTCATTCATTGTGTGTTGTATGTGTGGGTTTCTGTATTTTCTAATGTTGACTCTGACTCACAGAATCCATAGAATTCATATTGATTTAGACTATAATAAAGGATTGCTTATAGATCAAGTTGCAGCAAAAGAATCACATGTTATACTTAAGACAGCATCAATAGATCTAAGAGAACAGTGCTTCTCTCATGCAAATGTGGCACTCCCTGCATGCGTTTTCTCTCAAGCTAAGAGACGAGAGGTCCACCATTCACATCACTGACAAACCCATAACCCGATCGATGCGAATGTGACTCATGCACATCTTTTGACTAGACACACCAAAGACTGCAGCACACAGCATCTTCAGTGTTGGGATGCGTCTCTTCCAATTAGTTAAGTCAGTCTTAGAGATTCAGCTGGACTTTTTTTCTTTTTTTTTTAGCACAGTCAGGACTTCCCCGCCCTTTGACAGCAGAAGTTTACAGTAGTAGAGTTGCTTTGCTGGCAGTCTTGGCTTGGCTTATTTGCTTATCATTCAGCTTACATGTTGCCAAGTTCATTAAATGAAGCACTGTTTTTTTCTAGGTTATGCTGCATGCTTTAGTTTACAGCTTCTCAGTTATTTTCCCTTTTTGTCTTCACCGACCCAATAGCAGCCACTTACCTGTTTACTTACCTTCCTCTCCGGACATTTAAAAACCTAGACAGTTCTAGTATTAGAGAAACAGGCAACAAACAAAGCTCTTCTCCATCACATTCAAGGAGAGATACTGTCATTGCGAGGGGGTTAAAGGGTGGGATTGTCAAAGTTTCCGAGGAGAAAGGGACAGAAAGACGCAAAGGTCAGCAGGCGGGATGGCCCCCGACCTTTGATAGAGTTTAAGGGACACATTCAGGACCCTGCGAGCTCTATAGCAGACCCAGTGTTCAGCCACGCAGTCTAAAGTGCTGTTTCAACTGATGCTGAGTAAAGAAAGGAGGCGTGGCATCATTTATTGGACATGCACAGGGCATTATGGGAGTTTCTCATTCAACTTAGCTACAGTACATACCTCTTTCCCCTGCTTTGGAAGTCACCGGTCATATGACAGTATAAACACAGGAAGATGTACAGAACAATAACGTATTTTTGAGGCATTTCTTGTAAAATAAAAAATAAAAAAAGCTGTTTTTTTTTTTTTTAAACTACAAAATAGACAGCAGAGAGGGATGAAAGAGGAAAAGCTTGGGGAGTAATGTTTGAACGAGTGCGGACTGTGAAATTAATCATTGGATGGAAGGGGTGGATCATGGTGGATCAAACTTCAGGAGGTTCACATGGAGCATACTTTGGGGATCTTACTGGTTCAGCATGCTTGGAGAGAAAGGAAACCTCTTCATGGCCCGATGAACATGCTTTATGATCACAATTATGTTGTGCAAGCTACAGTGCCTTTGAATTCTTTACGTAAGTTTGCTCTCACATCTATGCCTACAAACCCACCCATTGCTACGGCCTCTATGAGCTCATTCTCTTTCTAAAAGGTGCCTGTTGCCATAGTGGCGCACATGCCATACAGGAGGGTCGTGATGGGGACTGAGGAGGAAAAAAGGAAAATAAAAATACTGTACCGATTGATCTCCAGAACTTGTGACTGCCGCCTGTCAAGCATATTCAGAGAGATACAATAAATCTGCTTTATCTGTATTTTCTGAGATCACAATGGATTACCTTCAGATCTACACAACTTGACATGCTGGTCATGCTTTCCTACAAACAGGGTTCATTAAAAAAAAAAAATGTTGGAGAAGTGGACAGTAACCAAATCAAGGTACGTCAGTTGATTTAGGACAAGTAAGTTGAGGTTTTCCATTTAATAAATATTTTGATATTTTCTAAAATTGTATTTTTCACTGCATGTTTCTAAGTCAGTTGGTAATCACATACTGTGGGGATAGAAAACATGAAATAAGAATAAATAAACATACATATTCTTTGAACAGACGGTATATTCTGACAGCAGTGTTGTAGTACTCGAGTCCGACTCCAATGCTGATTTTAACATCTTACTCCTAACTTTGGCTTCTGCACTCATGACTTAGATTGGACTAGTTTATCTGCACTCACACTCAGGAGATAGAGAGGAGTACATGGTATGCACTGATAAAGGCAGATGTACTGTTTTTTTCATTAGCCTTTAATAACCTTTTCAATACACACAGCATGTGCATGCACATTTGGTCTTGTCTAAAGAAGAACAACGAATCTTTGACATCTGTCAGTCGGTGGTTTTGCAGGTATTTTGGAGTGGATTTAACACCTGCAGTGACGAACTACAGCAGTGTCAACGAGTATGTCTCCCTAAGATGATGCTCATTAACACGTCCTGTGTTGATACCGATAATTTGAACATCTGATAACCAAAATTTACGACAATAACCAAAGTCATTTTGCTCATATCGATGTCCAAAAAATAAATAAATAAAAGTTGGTTTAAGATGTGTTTAGGTAGGCTAAGGTCTCATGTCCCGTTAAGACGCTGTCCTATGTCGGAGACGTGACTCCACCCCATCTAGCCCGTAACAAAGAGGGAAAGACAGGTGAGGAGATGGAGGACAATTTAAAAGTTGTAGTGGCTGGAGTGGCGTCTGAAGTAGACAAAGTTAATGTGGGAGGGGGTGAGCAACTTGTTGAGTAGTTATCGTCCATTTATCATTATTTATCATTATCGAGGTGAACTGCTCAGTATATATTGTGTTATTGATTTGAGGCCATATCGCCCAGCCCTAACGTGGACTTATGCTGCGTTCCAGTTGTACTGGGAAGTTCCCAGTCAGTCGTTACAACAGTAAGCGTCCATCTTGGTTTTACAACTTGTTTACCAGAATGCCGTTATCTCGGGTTATGACTTTATTCCTAGTTCTGACATCGAACTTCCGAGGTAACTGGAACGCAAAATAAGCCCTGATTCAGCTCCATATTTGCTCTTGGACTTGACTCTGATTTTAAAACGTGAGACTAAACTCGGACTCAAGGTTTGGTGAGTTGACTACAACACTGTCTGACTGAATACTTTCTCCTGTAAAGGCACAGGGTGTTCATTTGAATAACTGAATTAGGGAATGAATTGGTAAAGAGATCAAATGTAGAGGTTTAAAGCACAGGACAAAAACCTCTTTATTACACCCTATAATCCTCTCCTGTTATTGTCTATATTGCTGATGAATCAATACAAACAAAGTGAAAATAACTCATATGGGGTGATTTTTGAAAAAAGCATGCACCCTAGACACCTCAAGTCTGCCTTGACTTTGTAAACAGCACATTTCCATGAGGACTTCTTAGCTTATAACTCTTCTGTCTGTTTGGTAGTTTTGTAAGTAAAAGATCTGAGGGCTTCTTCCTTCACAGGCTTTTGAGTCTCACTACAAAACATGCAAAAGTTTAACATCGCATTTACCTTCCTTCCTACAGTTTATTCTTGACTACCATGAATAAAACTTGATATAAACACAGTTTTTCAATGCCTTTATCAGCTTATGTAACACTGCAGCACTGAACTATGAACTGCGATTACAGCAAAGAGTTGCACACATTATGTCTCACTCCGTCTAATTTAAAGTCTCAAACTTTGCACTCTGAATCTATTCAGCTCTGGTCTAACAAACAGCAATTAGAGCGTTCCTAATTTAAATTCATGTTTGAATTTTTTTAGTAACCCATAGATGAAAGCAGCTTTATTTATATGAAACTGATAATAGGATTCACTCTCTTTTGTGGCGCAGCATGAGATAAAAGTGGGCATATAGAGGGAGAGTGTTTAGAGGAGGAGAGGGTTCTCACTCACCTCCGCATGGTGTTCCTGGTTCTGCTGGAGGACCTCTATGACTAACTCCGCCAGGCGAATTGTTTCCTCCAGCTTTTTGGCAGGCGTGACTAAGCGGCCTACGTTCTCTGAGACAAAAGGATGAGGGTGAGGGATGAGTGGTTAGTCAAGCACAGAGCAGGATTCCAGGGGGATTTTTGATGACTATTCAAAAGAGTCTTCCTGTTTATATTTTTGACAGTTTAATAAAAGTATAAACACAGTGCTTTACGCTGTGTTGTGTGGCTAAAATACCCCCGTGACAAGTAAAGCGTGTTCTCATTTGTTTGCATTTGGAAGTTGCATGACATAAAGCAACAGAGCTGATGTGTTTGTTGATATCAGGCACAAGAAAAGTGGCGTTGAGATGGAGGTGCAATGTGGCTTTGAAAACATGCATATTGTGAGGTGGTGCTGAATAAGTAATCTGCATCAAGAGTGGCATAAAAATAAAAACTTCACACACACACACTGTAAAAGTGAATCATTACTTTCACTTAAAAGTTAGAAACTTAGATAACTTTCTATTAAATGAATGACAGGACTTTCTTTGTTTTTTGTAATCAAACTCAAACTAATTTCTGTATTTTTCAACAACTGGAATCAGGCTATTATGTAGAGGGATTAATTAAAAAGTAAAAACAGGAGCATCAATCTTAAAGAGATTAAAATACATCAAAGTATGTTCAAATTTGTTTTTAAATATTAAAGCAGAGTTTTAGAAATTGCTGTTCTGTATTTTTCAAGATAAATGGGTCAATCTGTATAACACAAAGAAATGCCTCATCTATTTGCCTTTTTAGACATTCCTGGGGTTGTAAAGGTCACTAAGCATTCAAAAAGGACAATCCCAGATTATTTTTACAGTGTGAGGTTATTTTGATTTGTCATCCAAGAAAACTTTTTGGGGAAATTTTAATTTGGCACTCTTCGTCTTATTTACGTTTGTCTCTAATTTGCAAAAGCTCCAAAATAAATCAGTTGTGTCTTTGCTGACAGAATGATCTGATAAGACAGTTACATGTCATGAAATGAGAGTGTTGAAACGGTACGTCTACACTGAACGATGTGCGTGTAATTCGTAATAACATGAAACCGAATGGCTACAAAAAATTTCAAAAATAAAGAACATTTATACATAAATTCACATCAAACAAAAGTGGTTTTTGGACTGTAGTTTGACACTTGATTGACTCTTGTTTTTCTTAAACTTTTATTCTACTAAGTTGTTATTCTTCCTGCTGAAGCTAAACGGAAAAAAAGGCATAATTTGAGGGTTTATTTTAGGGCTTAAAATAGATTCAAAGAGTCTGGAATTGGGTAACTTTTTCGGTAATCATGAAGCCTTTACCATCAGGGAAACCTGAGAAGAGCTGAAGTAATGCTTGAGTCATCGTCTGAGAGGACATTTAATCAACACTAATGGATGGGCTGGGTGGATTTGTATTACAGTAACTTTTTCATCTGTGGTCATCACTCCTTCCAGAGGGAGCAGTGGGATCTGATCTGAAATAGTGGTCTGTTCAGGATAAAAGCAAAGTTGGCCTTTGTGGATTCATTAGAATCACGTCTGTATTACAATTAGTTACAGTATTATACGTAATACATCTGCTTTGGCATTCAGAATTATAGCTGGCGATGTTTCAAATCATAACACCAACTTCAAAGGGGTCGAAGAAAGTTTACTGAAATAAAAACAGTGCTGACTCATATGATCAGTTTCTGTTTCTAGAGGACCAAATAATCAGTTTTTTTGTTGTTATTATTCCAGGAGTCAAACTGCTGACCCCTGGTGCAGCTGTCGGGGCTTGTGTTTTATATTTTTATTATACTACTGACTTTATTGTGTTTGATGATATTTCATATAAAAAAAAAACAATTATGCTTTAGTAGAAATAAAACTTGGCTTTCTCTCTGACTGCAAACAAAAAAAGGTAATTAGGTTTTCTTTCATTTAAAATTGGGCTGAACGGACTCGTAACAACCTAAAATATTATTTTGATTGTGACTCTACCATCTACATATTATGTAAGGTCCACAGACGATTTCATCATCAAGAGTATGATTGTCTGTTAACATGTAAAACATGTTCATGTGTTTTCCACTGGATGATGAGGGACACATTTGAATGTTGCTTATGTCCGCTTTTTTCTTCTCTTGATTTCACATATGCGTAGGCAAATATGTGGCTTTTTTTTTTAGGAGATTGTATTACTCTACATTTTAAAGTTTTTAAAGTTGGAATGTTTTTACAACAGTGATTAATATAATACAAAATAAAAGTTCACAAACAATCTTGAACCAAATCTACTGTGGTATAGAGTAATACAATCTCAGGGTATTTACTTTGTAAACATAGATGCTTAAAACATGCCAAGACATCTTACAGTCTAAATGAGTGTGTGTATATTGTGTGTATATATATATACACAGGGAATGCATGCATGTGTCCTATATCTGTTTTAAAAAGATGTGTATTTACTTAAGTAGTGCAAGGTTTGGTCTGTCTGTGTATGTTTGTGTGTACTGTGGTTGGACTACAAGCTAAACATGAGTTCACCTGGATCCTTTTGATCCTTTTGACCTTTCTCAACTTCAGCGAGAAAAAAGGGAGAGAAGAGATAAAGAGGAGATGTTTAGAATTGGCACGCTTTTAGGGTTATTTTCACGTTACAGGGGGGGAGTTGACGACCCTTTCAAACAATCTGCTGGGACGAAGTCGGCTCCAGGGAGTGAGATTTCTAGGCAACAGACAAACGTCACAAAGACACAGTAAAAAAACAGAAACACTGAATAGCCTGTGGAAAATTAAAATCGTGATAAGATGTTTGTTAACAAACAGACACAGCTCAGACTGTTGTAAACAGGTAAAACACAGAAACAGCGGCCAGTACCGTAGACAGGACACACTGAGTGAATTCAAAATACAAACAGGAGCTGTTGAATTCAAACACCCTGCCCTATCCTGTCCTCCACATACAAAAGCTCCTCTGACAGATGTGGTCTCTGGTGTCACGGTGGGATAAAAGCCTACCTGTTTGGCACACCAATGACACATGATCAGACCGAATGACTGGAGGAGATAACAATGTAAGCAATGTAAAAATGCATTCAAGTCAAAGGAACGGGCATCCAACCAAAAGAAAGAAGCTTACAGACCAGACTGCTCATTCATGTCCATCACAAACAGATGGTTCGTAAAAGAAAGGACCCCGACTGATTCAGCGTGGTACTATTCAGATCTCTCCACTGGCTCCCCACTCACTCTCACAGACAGGAAGCACAGATACAAAACAAGCATGGCAGCAGCAGCGACATATCTGGAAAAGAGGGAAGGCGGGAGGAGGAGGAGGAGGAGGGGAAATGAGGTGAAAGAGTGCTTGATAAAAGAATGAAGGGAGGGAGGGGGAAGCGATGAAGGTACTCACGGATGGTTAAATCCATCACTTGAGACGCCAAGCAGAAGACAGGGTGCTCATACATTTCCCTCCTTTTCCCTATAAAAAAGGATCGGGGCATGCAAAAGGCTGGGGTCAGAGGTGGGAAGGCTGGAGGTTCGGAGGCTGATGGGAAGAGGGCTGTCCGGGTGAAAACGACATTCTCGTTGGGCAGGAGGCCCACTAGCAAAGCCAAATGTTTGCTTTTGTTTGAACCGGGCACCTCACAAGGACAGTAAACTCAGTAAACTTGGCAAGATAGTAAGGTTTGAACCCTTAGTATCTTAAAGCACACTGGGGGGTTCCTTTTAAGGCATAAACAACATTCGTTTCTGTGTAAAAAATGCAAACTGTATGCATTTTGTGGTAAATCTGCAGAGGAGAGAATAAGAAACCTTCAAATGTTGTCTTTTTTTATTGACACCCCAATAATAAAGCCATGTTGTTTTGTCTTAAAAGCACATGCATGTTGTTGATGCTGGTTTGTAGGTGCTCAATCCCAGCATTCCCTTGGTTTAAAACCCAATTATCACATAGTCAAGAGGTTGAAATAAAGTGATAACTGTGTCAAAGCCTACGACAGTGGGAAGGGAGAAAAAGAGCAGAACAGACAGCAAAGTAGAGGGAAAGTGATCTTCAGTGAGAGCAGAAGACAGAGGTGACAGGAGAGCTGCTGGTTTTTCAAAGCAGGGGTGTAAAGGGGGTAGGAGGAGGGTGTGGGGCAGAGTCAGTCGGAGGAATCAGAGAGTTACAGTGAGATAGTAAGAAAGGGGGAAGTGAGAGCTGGGAGTCAGAGAGGACATTCAGTTAAGCTGATCTCTCCATCCAATCATTGTACAGTATGTCAGAGGCTGGGTTGCTACACAACTTGAATAAAATCAAGGCACAAGGAGAGATTGGCACATCAACAGATTTCAGGGCTTTGGATTTGAATGCATTTTTACTCACACACCTCTACACAAAAGCCAACTTGACCTACAGAACAGCACAGAGCTAAAGCAGGCCTGAAACAAAGGAGAGAGTTATTGCACTGAGAGACAGAAAGTGACCGACAGGCTGTCAGAAAATTATTAGGGATGCCACAAATCATTTGAGAAACATGGACACAAATATACTAAGTCAATTCATCATGTGCATAAAGATAAATAACAGCAGTAATAGGTACAATCTCATGCTGGAATAACAAAAACAAAGTCTGGGAACAGAAATAAACAGTTGAAAAGTAGCATAGCTTTGTTATGCCACATACAACAACTGAGCATTTCAATCAGTATGATTCTTAAGAGAAGATTTTTGTTAAATCAACATAAATACCCTGAATGTCTTTAGTTATGTTAGTGTGGTTCCGGTTACCTTCAATTTTAGCATATTCTTGAATCCGCTGGTAGTTGAGCTGAGCGGCCTGCTCCAAACATTTACGAATCACTCCTTTAACTTCCTCAGGTGGGACTGGGGTCACAATGTCTTTCATCAGGACCTGCAGGCCACATTAAAGAGGTATTACGCAATTTATCAAAGCACATCAAAGTTGGCGATTCATGGGGTAGCAAAAGGCAGTGTTTTTTGTCTTTACAAACCCTCTCAAGCAAAGATAAAGTGGCCTTCAGGGCTCCCTCTGGGCGACCAAAGGGGAAACAATATCTACAAGGAAATATGTAGACATGAAATGTAACACCAGGAGAAAAGGACCATGGTAATATTTTGTGAGTGTTTGTGTGTCAAAAGTCACCTGAAATTTACAATATTGTTTTCCAATATCACACGCAACCGCTCCTTGATGTCTTCAAAGCGCTCCTTCTCGTCCACTATCACTGTGCTCAGCCCGTCTGGCCTAAGAGGATCACACCCACATACTTAAACCCAGCTGACACTCTCACTCTACAGAAGTTCAAGTTATGCAACCACTCATCTCAGACACTCTCTGTCTGAAAACTCTCCGCTCCCAAGGAGCCAAACTGCAAATAGTCTGAAATTTCTTTCATCAGTTCCCTTTGTGTTACACATATAAGTAAATAACACAATCTCACCTTTTTTGGCCCTCAACCAGAGGTATTTTGGAATCCTTTCTCTTTCTAAACTTGAGCATGCGTGTTCGTTTAGAGGCAGTGCGGGGATCTGGGCTTTGGGGACTCTTTGGGGACTCAAGGGCCACATAGCCCAGCGGCCCCCAGTAATTGCTGCCCTCTCTGACTTTAACGGACACATGGGAGGATGAATAATATGGACAGTAAGAGACTATGGCAACAAAAGACAGAGAGAGAAAAAAAAAAAAAAACAACAGAAAATGGTAGAAAACAAAGAAAGTATGTAGACAAGCATTTGATTAACAACAACACAACATGTAAAAGAAAAAGCAGCAAAACTTTAACACAACATAAAAAAGAACAAACGTAAATGCATCAAAGTAACACAAATGGAAGACAAAAAAAGATGTGGAGTCTCTGATGAGGTCGACTTCTCTATTTTCTGCTCATCTGTTGTGTCTGAGGGTTTTTATGTGCCCACCTACTTTCTATACAGAAAGAATCACACTGCCTAAAGCTATCTTTACTTATATAGATGTGTGAACTTGATAATGTTATGTTCAGAAATGTAAGTCCCAAAGTATGAAGATTCAAAAAGAAGGGATTAGGGCACACCTGTTTCCATGGACATGGGAGGCACAAAATGCAAAGCTGTAGTGAAGAAGAGTGGGGTCTATAATAGCCCCACTTTCTGCTCTTTCCAGTAGATCACGCAGGTAACACAGATGTCTGTGACAGCCTCGAACTCCATTTCTGGCACAGTACTCATCCAAGACAAACACCTGGCCCGGGCTAAACCATCCCTGTTAGACAGAAACACAGATGAAAGTCGTGTTTGTGAACCAGCTACTGACTGTACATAACAAATGGACAACGTGTCTCCACCTCCTCTCCGTGCACAACTAAACTCAGGGTCAGCGTACTACGTATCAGCTCTTAGACTCAAGCCTCTTTCGCAACTTAAAACACACATTTAGATAAATGGCAATGATCCCTCATGTCAGCACAGCGTAAAAGCTTCTATTGTCAGCTTGAAGGAGATACTCATGCTTATGGAAAGTTCAATGATCCCTGTGGTAGAGTATGATACGTTTTCTCTTTCGGTTCCATCTATGCATCTCTAATCTGGTGCGCACAGGGTTGTATTTGTAGAGTGATAATAATAGTAATAACAATACATTTTATTTGTGGTATCCTTTACATCCAGAGAAGAGCAAAGAAATATCACAATAAAGGAATACAGAAACAGGTTATTGGTTAAAACAAGAAACACATTTCATTTAAGGAAAAGCAAGAGATCTGCTGCGAATAACAGTGTTATTTTACATTTTAACATGAAATAGCTAATTAAACCTAAAATCTAGTCCACAAGTAGTCAGGTGTTTTTCAAAACCAAAAGTTTTCCTCTGTTTAAAATAAAAGTCCACATAACAACACAGACATAGTTCAAATTCCTCCATAAGCATCCAGGCCAGTAGGGGGCACTAATATGTAATCAGTCCATCATAAAAAACACCATAGAAGAACATACCATCTTCTGTAAATGTAAAGAGTGATCTTTAACCTGTTCACTGAATTGAAAACTAAAAACTGTTCAATGTGACTTATTTACAAGCCCTGCAATATAACAATGCAGGACAGCTAATTTTCCCTGTAAACATATAAGTTCACTGAGTGGACATACGCTAGCGGCCTGCAAACATGGAGTGTAGGCAGTAGAAACAGTAAATGTAGTCGGCCTTTTCTCACCTCATTTTTGAAAATCTCAGTATTTAGTGACCTATAGTTTTATTTGCACATCAAGAAAGCTTGAAACACACAGAAAAAGCTCAAGAGAAAAAGCTTTCATTAATACCTGACTATGTGTGGACTAATGCTGCGTTCGAGTTACCTTGGAAGTCAGATGTCCGAGTGGAGAATGATGTCACACCCTAGTTACCAGCGGTTCAGTTACCAAGTCGGAAAAGAGCAAAATCGGCTAAATCTACGAAAGGGGATGCTAAAATAACTCATGATAACAAGCGCTAAAATAACAGCCATCTTGTTTCCGCCCTCGATTTAGCTTTTTTCCAACTTGGTAACTGAACGCTGGTAACACGAACGCTGCATGAGTCAAAATTTCTCAGAATCATTAAAAAAATGACTTGTTTTTTGTTTTTCCAGTCCACCGTTTGACGCGTCTACTCATATGAATGGAGAAGAAATACAGTCGGACAAGTGGAAACTGTAATACTTTGGCTTCACTTTTGGGAGCTGTCATGTTGTCCATGTTTTTCTACAGTCTGCAGCGCATGCTAAAGGAAATGGAGTACAGTGTGAGCACAAATATGTCAAGTATAGAGTAAAGAGCAGAGTGTCTCTCACCAAGCAGCAGAAGGTGTCATTGAGCCTGTGGTCCAACGTGAGCCGCTGCACCATCTCAAAAAGCGAGGCGTGGTCAAAGCTACAGGGGTTAGCGGAGATAAACTCATCCATGCCATGTTTCTGAGCTCTGTCAGCATCTATCCAGCCAACGGTACAGGGAAAAGAACACGGTTCAGAGGAGAGGACATCAGTGAGGCAAAGGCAGACAGTAAATCTTCTTCACAACACAGAAACACCAGGGATTCTCTTTGACTACTTCTGCAAATTATAAACACTTACAGCTTACATTGTCAACTTGCATTGTGTCAGACAGCGTAAAGAGATTTGATGTATTGGTGGATGAGAGTCTAATGATCATCTACTGTATGTGCATGCATGCATCTTAGTATGTCACATTCCCTAAAGTTTTGCAGGGGGGGATTAAACTTTAAATACCCCAAACATGTCTGGAAAAAGTGCTGCTTAGATGCATTCTGCTAATGTATGCAATAGATTCTGCCATTCGCAATTCTTGAATATCACTCAGGTCCCGACAATTATTCGGACCTGTGCTAATAAAAAGGCGGAATATAGTAAAAGTATAATTCGTCTGAACAGTGCAGGGATACCATATAAAGCGCTAATTCAAGAAAAAAGTTGTAAAAACTGGATTTTTTTGTTTTGTTTTTTTGACGATATTGATCCTAAAATGTCGTATTCTTTCAGACTTTTATTGCTGGTCTCCCTCCTTAACTTTAACCGTCTTGGTTTCAAGAGACTTTTAAGAAAAATGATGCTGCTCTGTAGAATTAATGGAGAAAGTTAGTAGCATTAGTAACATCAATTGGTGTGAAATAAAAGGTAATGAAATTATAATGAAACTCAGTAAATATGCATGATGAAAACATTTGGTGTAATACTCAGTTTTTACTTCTTGAGATCACAATAGAGAACGTCTACTAACCAAAAAGACCAGCGTGTCTAGTGCTGGGTAAGTATCACAGCTACCAGCAACCACATGATGGAAACGGGGATGATTCCAAATAGATAACGAGATGCAGTCTTGTCCTCGGTGTGAGTGACAGGTGTCATGTCCATGAGACACTAACATGAGTGATGATGATTTGTTGGGTGGGAAGTGGGAAGTGGGGGCCTGATCTTGGCTGAGAAAGGCCAGGACACCAAATAGAGCACAAGTGACATCCGTCAACCTCCAGGTCAGTGAGTGGGAAGGGAAGAGGGTGTAATAGCGGGGGCAAAGCATTCATTGAGATTTGCTAGGATAAGAGGGAGCCTACAGAGGGTTAAACTTGAGGATTATTGTCTTATTTTTTTACTCCAGTCTAAGAAGGAAAACCTGTGAGACAACAGATATGATGTGGACGATAGAAGTAAAAGATTGTTCGAGGAAGAGGGACAAGACAGGTAAAGTAAGTCATAATGTAAAAAAGTAGGACACAAAGGGTCTGGAAACACTTAAAGAAGACAGTAAATGACACCCAGTGCTTGATGAGAAGACAGTGGCAGGAAAGACGAAAAGAGACATCTTTGTAATGAGACAAGACAATTGTGTGTTCACTCAGACAAAAAAAGTGACGACCACAAGAAGAAAATCCACTCAGGACCAAAGTTGCAGAGGAAGTGATGTTGTGGATCAGTGTTAAGATAGTGAGAAAACATCCAAAAGAGTGGAAAGAAGGTGCCTGGGGTTGTCGGGCTATGACACATAGTGAGTGGGCTACATCTTCTTTGACTTGACTAAATGAGGAAATGGTGTTTAAGTCCATAACACACTGAAAACTACAACCATAACTGAGGATTTCCATAATGACTACAACCATAAATCAAATTACCAGATTCCCAAAGTGAAAAGGTACTTTTGCATACATATATATATAAATTATCACATGCCGGAGAACAGTGTTACTTTTCATAGAGCTTTTAAATGTCATGCACATTTGCAGACCCATTTTCAAATTTGCATATTTTTTTCTTTTTTTTTGGCATTCCTTGATTTTTTTTTTTTCTCTACGCATTTGCAAGTTGACAATACTTGAATATGTTGCAGTGTATTCATGATCTCTACAGAGCACACTAACAGGCATACCACTACTGGAAAACTCTAATAGGGTAGCAATACAATTTGGTGCAAGTACATGGGTAGATAGCATGAAGCCGACAGAGGCAAAACTGTATCATTCTCTGGGAGATGAGGGGGAAATGAATGAAAACTCCTGTTTTTTTTGTACAAAAGTATGGACACATGACACAGGTGTTCTCCTATTCAGGCAAAACAAAGGGCAATCAAAAGAAATCAAAATGAGATCTCTACTTGCTGGAGGTGTTACACCGGTCTAGCCTCTATCTACAGGCCCATCTACTGTATGAGGAAGGGGGAGGGGAGGGGGGTCCGGAGTATTGCATCGTAAGAAGGGGCGGCATTAGCTACTCCTTTTCTTTGGCATTCAGAATACTCCGCGTACATATTTGCCAACTCTCGTCCAGGAAAGTTCAAAGAAAAGAACTAAAAGCATTTGGGCCCTCTGAAGTAAAGCACGAGCGAGGGAAAATTTCGCTCATGCATGGAGTATACTTCGATAAAGAACTGCGGACATCATCATCATTCACACTTTTACCTGCACCTCGTCTATTTGCACAATGATATCTTATGTGTTTTCAATGTCTAACTTCTACAAACGAATGCTAAAGTGTGTATTTAGCTCATTAGATTGAAAAATCTCAACGAATTCAAACATCAAATCTTTTTCATAAATGAGGACTTTCACTTTTTGGAATGGTAGTTCAAATTTTTATCCTAATATTGCTTTACTCTGAGGGATCCAGTCACCAATATGAAAAAGAGAGAAGGCAATTATGCAATAACAACTAGAATATATATCTCTAATCATTTCTGAGTCAAATAATAAGTTCTCATAATAAAATACATGCATCCTATGCTGGCACGGATGGATGCTTATACTTTGATCCTCAAGTTGAGGTCGTCAAAAACAAAAAAAGTTATCAACTAAATATCTAAGACATGAGGCGAGACGTGAAAAAGGAGAAGAGGGAAAGAAGAGAGAAAGAACGTTGCATTTGTCAGATAATCAGCGGGGATTATCTGAGCTGTGCCGGCTACAGGGAAGCACTTACCCTTGAGTCCAGCTAGAAGACAGCAGGGTAAGAAGGGACAAACCAGAATAACATAAAGACTAGCAACAAGGCTGGAGGAGAGCAATCACGAGAGACCCTGACCTAGCAGCTGCATTACTCAAGAAGGGTACAGGCAAAGCATGAAGAAGAAAACACAACTGAAAAACAACAACCTATACCAACATGAGAGTGTTTTGGGCGGTGGTGTGTGAGTACATGTGAGGATATGTGAACAACAGATGTTGAAGTATATTAAAGAGACAGAAAGAGACAGAGAAGAAGATAGAGAAAGACAGGAAGAGAGAATTAACGATCCTCATCACTCCACTGCAGTTTATTTATTCTGAATTTTGGACAAGTACTTAAGGAGGCAAGAGCTGCATGTTAAGTACCGTCGCTCTGTAGCTGCAGATCAAACACGAGGCTTACTTTTGAAAGCAACTTTGACACGACACATTCACCAGCCCAATAAGGTTGTTAGTCTTACTTGTAAATGGTGCCTGTGTGATTTTATCAGTCGAGGGAAAGAGACTATGAAGGTCCTGGAAAAGTTAGAAATGGCACATGGTGAAATATCACAACTTCATGAGTAAAATGTAACTAGCTTTAAAGGAGCAATCCGCAAAGATCAGTCCAACAGTTATGGTTAGAAATTCTTATTATAGCTAGAAATAATGAAGGGGTTTGGGTTGCTTTGATAAGTCGCTTGATGTTTGATGCTTCCTCTTTCAGGAAATGCAAATGAAGGTGTGTGGGGGGTACTCAGTTTTTAAGAGAATAACTCAAAATTTGGACTCATCCCTCTCTTGCCTTGCATTTCTTCCTCCACACCTTCCCTTTAACTGCTAATGTCTATTTCTATGACCTACCACTTCCTGTTATTTCCCGATGATTAACGATGAACGGCTACCACTCAGTTAAATTAAACAGAAACCATCCTTTGTACCCTGAACCTGCACCCTGTAAAGTTAATTCAATATACTGGGGCTGAAGAAATGAAAGCCTGTTATGTCATACTGATTTTATCAGGATCAATTTATGTTATGAGTTTGAAAAACTAAAAGATACATCAGAAAATTAACATCATTAGCTGTACGTTATGATAATAAAATATGAGGGTGTTAGGTGGGTTCAGATGCATTAAGCTTCATGGGAAATACAGGGAAAAACTGAACCTTTGTATTCTGGGGTATAAAATTTAGGATCTTTTACTTTGACTATATACTGGTCATCATTTTTATTCACCTTTAGTAATTTAAGCGCAAGATTGAATCATCGGTGAACCTGTTTGAGATATTTCTTGATGCTCTCATGATACTGAGGGCTCTATTTTCGCGCTTCGCTGGCGACGTGGTGCAGGCACAGTGTAAGTCAGGTCTGCCGCGACGACAAGGCATTCCCAAGCACAATTTGGTATTTTGGTGAGTGGCGCAGCCCGGCGTAAGTATCCCCCCTCCCTAACTCAGCTCCTCCCAGTGGTGTAAGTCGTAGCGAGGGAGGAGAGAGGGCGTGGAGTGGGTTTAACACAGCCGAGACCTGTATTGACCAATAACATAAGCTCCTCTCCTCGCCTTTAAATCCGCCACCGGTGAGGCGTATTACAATTTTCGTGAAGTAGTCAAAGAGATCAAGAGATGTCTGAAGACAAGCTGACCAGGTTTGAATCGGCGAGCTTTCGGCGGCGAGCACAAAAAAGGCACTGCACCAGCTGATTCTGTCGACACCTTCCCCTGCCACGCCACCACGCCCAGCTTGGCGGACCTCAGTGCGCCTCAGTCCACGAAAATACCTAACTGGCTGTACGCCGGGCTCCGCCAGACAAAAATACCACTGCGCGGGGTCCGCCACCCTCCGCCGTGTCACCGGCGGACACGAAAATAAAGCCCTGAGTGTTATATTCTCTCATATTTTAATGACACTCAGTCAAAACCAGCTATGTCACACTCATCAGAGTAATTTAAATCCTTTTCTGCTTGATCGAAAAAGAGAAAAACATTTGACAATTTGTACATTTCACTCAGAACCTTCACAGGCCTATTTTTTTCCCATCGGTCCACTGCAGCAGAGTCAGGAGGGGCTGTGTTATGTTATGGTCCCAGTGCCATTCAAGACCACCAGGGGGTGAAACATGTATGCGTGATGTGCCACAATGTTTCAGGGGGAGGGAGGAGGAGGTCTGTGCCACTGTGAGGAGGCTTTGAATGGCAACAGCTGGCATCAGAGGAGTCAACTAACCACAAGAACGATCACATACTGGACAAAGAAACCAATGGAGAAACAACATAGAATTTGTGTGATAGGATTCTGAGAAACGGATCCAATTCATGTCGTTTTAGTTACACTCCAATGATATGATTAACAGAGAGTGGAATTCACTCAGGGGGGCTTTTAAGGTGAGTTTGACTGTTACATGATCATCATTATTACTGAAACCATGGGTGTCTTTTAGCTGGTATTCAAAAGGCCAATTGCTTAACTCAAAAAATAAAGATCTGTCTCATAAGTGTAGGAAACATATAGCTTAAACTATATGGGGTCTCAAATGCACACAAAAGGTCATGTTTATTTTTTCTGAATAGCAGGATCTATTATTGTGGATTGATATCAAAGTATGTGAGATAAAGTAGATCAGAAAGCCTAATGTTAGTGTTTTGAAGGGAAATAATAATGCTTACCTCTCTACAATACCAAAACCGCTAAAAGCAGTGTTCAAAACATGTATATTTATATTCAGAGCTGTGTGAATTAAATATGCTAGTGGCAGGAATTATGGTTACAAAAATATATTTTCCCTTCCTTAATGAGAGGGGACACAAGAGACAGTTACAACAGAAGTTTGTACAGATGCCACACTACCATAGACAGTCTTACCTTCAACTTTGCTACCTGACCTGTGGGCTGCTTAGAGGTGCAAGTACAGTGACAGATTGGTTAAAACTTTAGACATGTCGTCTGGCTCAGCTGTCAGTGACGAGGGAACCGTCTAAGATACAGTCTGAATCTCGGCTGCATTCACAGCGGCCCTCTTAATCTACAGCCTCCGCTTTGGTCAAGAGCAGCACGCTCTGGCACTGTCGGTCTGAATTCAGCCCCAGCGGGCTTGAATGTTCAAATCTTATGTGCGGTGACCTATTTAAATTAAAGTCAGAGTTTTCACACCATGTCCTGCTGCTCTGTGATAAAAGTATTTTTGCTGGTTGGTTGTTCCTTGTGAACAGACTGATGGGATAGCATGGAGTTGCACCTTTAAACACTGTGGGAGTGGTGACAATGAGTGGAAGTCCTTCAGATGCTGGAGGGATCTGTGAAAGATCAAGGCATGTGTGTGCGTGCTTGTGTGTTAGTTCTACCAGCACATTTTGTGACTGCAGTGTGGAGCGCATGGTGTGAGACATTTATGGGTTAGAGGATTTCACTGCTCTTGTGGATGAAAACTGCTTTCTGCATAAGTGACCGTGTTGTATTTCAGGGGTACTTACAGAACTGAGAAATGGGAGCGTCCATCTGGGCTGAGGCACCCCCTTTGGAGTTTAGTTTCTGGACCTGAGTGGGAGGGACGGGCTTGTGGGACTGGCCTGTGGCACGATACATGGCTTGAACCCACAGGATGCGGTCCTGTTCGTCGTCGCTGGCAAAAATCACAGTGTCGCCTTCCTTCACTGCGTTGAAGAAAGCCCTTCCCCCATCCAAACCTAAAACACATCAACGTTCAAGAGTTTGGTGTTTTTGTACAAGGGGTAACATCTGCACTGGTAGCATATAGAGGTCTCACCTGGCTGTGGGTCACTGTAGTCCACAGTGTACCCGTCCAGCTGGAGAAGCTCCTGTGGTTCTGATTTTTTCTCTCTGTAGCTGCACATGGCAAATGTGTACTGACTCACCTGCAACAGAGAGGGCGAGAGATCACTCCTAACAGCCACAGAGGTTATCGAAAACCAAACTTTTGAATGGAATGAACTTTAAAGTCAACATCTATCCTTTTTCCAATCAACACATTTTAACAATTATCTGTTATTATGTCATTTCAATACTAAAACATACGAGAAGTATTAGGGCTACATTAAGAAAAAAAAATTAAGACTTTGAGATTAAAGTCGTTAATTTACGAGAATAAAGTAATTACTTACAGGAATCAAGTCGTAATAAAATAATTACTAACGAAAATAAAGTCGTAATAAAATAAATACTTACAAGAATAAAGTCGTAGCAAAGTAATTACTTATGAGAATAAAGTCCTTAAATTCTAACCTAATTGTTTAAGATGACAGTTGTTGAAATAAGATCCATGGAGCATTTCATGACAATGTATTTTAATATCGGTTTCTCAAACAAGGAGTTACTTAATCTTTTGGCACATCAGCACCACATTATTTTAAGAACCATAGTGATTTTATTACGACTTTATTCTCGTAAGTAATTACTTTATTGCAACTTTTTTCGCATAACTAATTACTTAATTACGTCTTTATTCTCGTTAATAATGACTTTATTCTTGTTAATTAACAACTTTAATCTCAAAGTCTTGATTTTTTTTTCTTAATGTGGTCCTAATAATCATAAAAACACTTCCTAGTTTTTTGTTTTTTTTAAACATTTGGCTTAAAATAAAATTACCAACTTGCTAAAAAGTAACATGGAGTAAAAGAGTAGGCTCTGTGTTTTATTTCAACACTATTTTACAGTGACCTACCTGCACAAGGACAAAGAAACGCTTCTTCCAGCGCTTCCAGACATTCTTCCCAAAAGCCCACAGATAGCTGTCAAAACGCACACACACACACACAAAGAGAGAGAGAGAGAGAGAGAAAGAGAGAGAGAGAGAGAAAACAATCCATGTCATGACAAACACAATCACCTGCACAAAAACATGCATCATATTTATATTAAAAAATCACACAAAGATTACCAGATCCCTTTTGTATATAACATTATTGAAATAAAAAAAATGTTCTTTTCAAAATCTGGACATTTTTGGGGCATTTCCTATAATCTTTTATAAAAGTCAAATTTTAACTACACACTGGTATCCACCAGGGGGAGTAGTGCACTTCACAGTATTTTTCCATGGTACGTGACTAGAAATGAGGCCAAGGAGCTGAAAGGGCTGGAATTCTATGAGAAAGACGGTGGAAATAAAGAGGCACATAGGAACGTCATTACGTTTCCTGCTGAGTGGCTTCTGTCTTACCCGCAGTGCTTCATGTTCTGAGGTTTGTCCATACGTATGGCCAGTTTGATCTTCAGGTCTTGGTCAGGACACGCCTTGGTCACAGTCATCTTGTGGAGCTCGGACTGTTTGGGGCTGTTAGGAGTTGGGTGGAGGACGACCTGTACGCAACAACAAAATAAAAATAAGACTCCATATTACTGTCAGTGGAAATCCAGGAAGTTAATCTTTCATCTCGCCCTGTGCAACATTCAGCAACAACCGGTCGCTGTGTTTGCGGCGGCAGGGGATTATGTGTGTTTGTATTTTTGTGCAAGTGTTTCACAATTTTTTGAAAGTGAAAGAATAAAGTCAGGGTAGAGAGACAGAGCGTTGCTTTACTCTGCCTCCCCGAAGAGGAGGCCTAATCTCTCTTTGCTGAGTTAAAGAGCTTTGAGGAAGCCTGCCTTCCTGCCAACGCTGCTGCAGCGGGAGATCAAAGAGCGCTGTCAAAGCCAAGGTCACTGCCACTACAGGGACGTCTGAGGCGCCGCTGCCCCATCGCAAACCGGCAACAACACCTTCCTCGGCTATCATGGTACCCTCAGACGTGAACACATCGGGAAGACACAGCGCGGGGGACTGAGACATGTTTCTGTGTTATCTCTCCTCATGTCTGAGTCAGAGAAGCTCGAAATTTAAATAATTTTCAAAGACTGAGAATCCGTCGATAAAAATGGGAAAAGTTTCTCTCAGCCTACTTTTTGTGGAGCACAGCAGGATTATTCAGTCGGGTCATTTAAATGGAAGCATATCGAGAAAGAGTCCAAATGAAAAGTTGTTTCTACATCGAATACTTATATACGTGTTTGAATAAGAACTCAAAGGTATATTCAGGTGTTAAGTTAAGACACTGTAACACCGAGTTAGACACCCCCTAGAGAGATGCATAACCTCGCTGCACTTTGTGATGTGCTCGTCTGAGGTCTCCATACAGACAAGGAGCTGCTGGAAGAGAGTAGGTCAGTTGTGTTTCGTCTCTTTGGTAAAGAAATCAGGCAAAGCTAAAAAAAATGTTTGTTGGCTAGTACTATGGCTGTGACCCTATATGTACTGTTGATGAAGTTAGGTGCTGTTCTGAGCATTATTTGTGGCTATAGAGTGGTGTTTTGGTTGAGGTTTGTTTATGGCTCCTCAGACACAGACCTGTGTATTGCTTTCGTGTAGTCGTTACTAAAGTTGGTATAACTAGAGAAGCAAGCTGTCGGCAACATTCATCTCTCGAGGGAGTGTCTAACTCGGGGTTACGGTGTGTTTGATCCTAACTTAATCTCTGCCAGAGTATGCCTTTAAGCAGTAAAAAGCTGTATCCTTATGGAAAAACAGTTTCCTGATTTGCAAAACAAATCAAATGGTTGAGTGTGAGTCACTTTGAATAGACGCTACACTGGAGACCCAGTTTCAGTGATTAAAATCTGAATGTGTCACACTTACAGACAACTTCAGCTGTACTTTAGACACTTAATAATGTTAAAGCAGTTGCACTTTTTTAACAAATACTGTATATGTTTATTGTGTTCTGGTTGGAGTATTACCATGGCTGTGTAGAGAGTGTTTTTGTGTCGGTATAAAATACAAAAAAAAAAAATCAAATGTTACCCTGCCCAGCTCTTTGTCCTCCAGTGCCAGCACCCCTGTGCTCTCTGTAAACAGTTTCACCTTGACAGCAGGCAGAGGGTGTGTGGTGGTGAAGTCCCCTTGGGTCCCCCAGCTGAAAGACACAACAAAACACTCCAGAGGTTAGCTTCCATGACAGCACAACAGAACAGTGTTCACACATCATGACTTCATCTCAAGAAACCACTGAGTGCATTTCACCTGTCAATGAGTCTGAGAGAGAGAGATTGTTCATGCTTTTGAGATTTTGAACTGAAGTCACTTGCATGAATGTCAGTAAACAACATAAACTGACAAATTCAGCAACAATAACAAAGATAAAATCCCTTTTTGCACGAGATTCTTCGTCTTCTCTTTAAAGCTCCTGTGAGGACATTTTAGCAGTTTGGTAAACAGACTGAGATGAGAGTTGCTGCCATAGACTGTATATACTATGGATAACTTGGCTCTGCCAGTATACGGATTTGAAGCTGAAAAGCTCTCAGTATTTCCAGGTTTTTTCTCCATTTCCTGAAACCAACATTGCACAGTAACATTGTACGGTTTCAGCAGGAGAGTCACCGAGAGTCGCTATGATGACGCTCGGCACTAACAGTGTTTCTCCAGGTGAGGTTAGTAATCTTTGTACGCCCATAGGCCGTATCAAGTGTCAATCATAGAAAACATGAACCCCCTAATAACTTTTAAAAATGGAGCTGTACAGAAAAAAGAGGACTTGAGCTCAAACCAGTCTTACAGTAACTACATGTCAACATCGCAACCTGGGGGAGAAAAATTTATATTCTGTGTTATTAATTTCTAAAGTTTGTCCACAGCTCCATAGGGATTGTTGGAGGAGGTGGGATTTATGACCTATACTGCAGCCTGTCACCAGAGGGTGCTGTTCTCGGGGTGGCTTCACCCAGCAAGGAGGCAGACGGTGTCCATTCTATATACAGTCTATAGCTGCTGCCCTCAAATGACCTTTAAAAACAAATGGGACCACCCAAAACTTGGATTGGTAGTTTCTGCACAGGTATTTTTTGCACTTGTCACTCCTGCAGGAGGTTAGGTGTCAGACGAAAGAAATAACAGAACATTTCTACAACAGCTTTAATGAATTATTTACATGCCAAATATTCTTTACAACATTTAATTGACATCTGAAATGAAGAGAGAATGAGATTTTGGTCTGATTAAACTAATTAAATATGTAAATAGAAATATCAGGAAAGAGTTAAGATACACTTTGTCTACAAGGGTTGAAAAAAGTGACAAACTTGAAAGTTCTTTACAGGTGCTTTAACGAAAATACTCTTAACATATTGGGTTTTAGTCAACTAGAGAGGGGACAATATAGGGTTTAAAAACAAAATCAGCAAAGTTAAGGAGTCTTTTGTAAAAGCAGAAACACAAACACATAGATTTCATTCTAATTCCAGCCCATCTATTTATGCTCCAGACATCTTTAAAAAAAAACTGCACTTGGTCATATTTTTATGAAACAAAACCTGTGTCAGCAGCCAAAATATATTTGTGTGTCTGCTGGAAAGCAACAGAGATTCTACAGACTTGCTAAAATTAACTTCTGCTCTCTGTGTCCTCACTGAAACTGAAATCCTTTTTCACCTACCACCTACTTCTCAGAAGTAAGCAATACATCGGTACTAGTGCAGTAAATCAGAGGAAAAGATGTTGGTGAATCTACAACAGAGGTGATGTTCCCATAACAGCATAACAGGGATTGTAAGTTCTGACAGACCATGCTAAAAATCGTTGAAGTTTCTCTTGAGAGATCCCTCTGTCTAAGGGATTTCAACGATAGAGATCGCAGCTAAATGACTCTCAAATTCAAGCTTTCAGCTCTCACTCAAAAAGCTGTTACTGTTGATGACACCAATCTGACAGGTCAAAGTCACACTGCTGGAGACTCATGTGAGCTTTGGATGGAGTAAGACTGCCACCTTTGCTTTAAATCGCTCTAAAATGGATCACTCTGTGGTTGGTTGACATAAAAAAGCTGAACAAAGCAGAAAAATGACTTTAATTTTACATTAGGGCATGTGAATGTATTAATATGAAAGCCTCCTGAGAACATAAACCTATCCCGTGAGTGAAAACCAATGACAATGACTTAACCTTAATCGCCGAACTACACCTCCGTAAACCTGAAGGATTAACGGAAACGAAAACACAGAGAGGAGATGCAGTTTACTCGAATCAGCTTACACAACATTTAACCGCTTTTGTTACTCCTCACCGCCATCTGCCTTCACAACATCATGAATGCAAACGCCTAAAATCTTCATCTGTGAGGGGGTATGGAAGACATGGTGTCTAATTCTAGCACGAGAATGTTGTTTTTCTTGTGACCATCTTTAACATTTATAATTAATTGAAACTTAATGTGCATAAAGATGCTGCGGCAGCTCTGACACGAGCAGAGCGGAGCAGAGGAGCTGCAGACTGTCAGTGAGGAGCAAGTGGAGAGCTGTGTTGACTTGAGATGGAAGCATTGTGCTGGCGAGAAGGTGACCTTGAGGATCAATCTATGGTCTGTGAATGGATGCGGCAGTGCTGCGTTCGTACAGCTCTTTCTGCGAAGGTCAACTTTATATGAAACTTTTTATGTGCTGGAGTAGGTTCAGAGAGAAAATTAAACACCATTATCATAAATATCAAGATCTTAATCAGTTGATTGAAAAAAAAGAGCAGTTAGAAGTCGAATATGAAGTCAGTATGAAAACAAATACAGCAAATTACTGTATGCAAATAACCTGCAGTATTATGTGGATTAATACATGCAGCTCAGGTATAGTTTAGGGTTTTTTCTCACTGTGCATTCATGCGTGTGTGTTTCCACCCACACATACGTACACACACATTACTCTTGCCTTTTTCTCCGCTAATCCCCTCCCTCATTCATGTCCCTCCATCTCCATCTTCATAAAATGGCTCTTGAATTAAGAAGATCAGAGGAAGACATTTGGGCCTTAAAATAGCTCATTTCCGCATGAATGTTTCATGGACTTCTTCTCTTGCATCTTGTGCTATGCAATGCTGGTTAATTAGAAGGAAAAGGTGGATATATTTAGGAGAAGATATATTTGTCCTAACTAGGACACAGTTGTTGTTATGAATAGCATAACAGGCGTAATGATAAGGCAGGTAAAAAAAAAAAAAAAAGGAGACACGTACTCCACCGGGACTCTCAGAGACAGGAAATTTACGTTGCCCTTTCTTTTTCGAGCTTGACTCACTGATAGGGTGACAAAGTTATTCTTCCCACCTTGATTGGCTGACTCAGGTACCACTGAGTCAAAAAGGTTTTAAGGTTCAGGTTTGAGTCATGAATTACGTAAGCAGCTATTGTTCAGGAGGTTGCTGCTCAGCCCCTTTGCTGTATAGCATGATTTTCATCAAACCTATAATTTCTTGAGTGTAGATTCAGGTGAAGGCGCTGTGGCTGTAAGAGCCGAATCTACTAACCCTGGGTACCAGATGAATCTCTGAGGTCATGTCTTATTTGCTCTGTCAAATACTTCATATAATTTAAAGAAAGAAGAAAAGTCCTCGGAAAGGGAATTCAGGCAAGAGCGCAGGAACGTCTTCATATAATAAGAGCTCGCTTTGGCAACTCAGGCTTTACTCTTCTAAAGGCATCTGAGGACATCTGATGAAAGTCACAGGAGGCACCAAAGATCAATAAAAGAATGGGGGGAAATCTTAAAAACTGATTTTACAGATGCCCTCCTGTAACCTAGTAAGGGGAAGTGAGCTTTACTCCTATAAGGGCAGCTGAGGATGTGGAGATACTCACTGGGGGGCACCAAACACCAATAAAAGAAGATGATAGGATCTCCACAAAGCACATATAAAACTTTAAGGAAAGAAATCTACTGATATTTACTTTCCTTTCGGATGATATCAAAGGTAATCCGTAACAGCTAATAGAGGAATGAAGGACTGTGTATAAAATGGAAATGCAGTGTATGGGTCTCTGTTTTTTTGCCGTGCTTCAAAGTAAAATAGTCCCGATGAGTACAGCATCAGTTAGCCAACACTGTTTTTTTCTCTGTTTTCACGATTGGTTTAGGATTTCTGTTTTAAAACAGATTACATGATTTTATTGCCGTTTTCCTCATACCTTAAAAAAGTCGTTTGAGGCAGAGAATAGGTCCTGTATATTTGTGGGACATGCCACTGCTGTTCCAAAGAAGCACCAATAGTTCGGCGAGGTTTTGGAGCTTTAATAACAGAAAAATCTCTTCTACAGTGGCCAATGATTCACACACACACATCAGATGTTATATGTGGACATTGTGCGACAAGTATCACTGCAAACAAAGAACATAAAGTGCGGTCAACAAAAATTACGGCAACCTAGGCTCACTACTCCACCCCGGTGTGCGATATTTTTTTTTGTAGGGGACCGTAAGGGAAAGTCCCGCCTCCTTTGCCTCTGATTGGTTAGAAAAGCAGGAAACGTCATCACACGCTCAAGCCAAACGTGGGCTGTCGGCTTTGTACATCGAACAGAACATTACAGAACATTATCACACTTCTAAATCTCCTAACCCTAACCCTCATCCTAATCCTAACCCTAACTCTTAGCCTAATCCTAACCCTAACCTGACAGACGATTACGTTTCACAGCCATTAGGAATAACCAATCGGAGCCCAGCACATCTAGCCAAATAGAGGTAGGTAATAAATTTTACCCCCAGCGCAGGTGAGACAGCCCCTTATATAACCTACCAGCTTTCAAACACAGTGCCCACGTGACCCAAACCCAGCGAACCAGACAAAAGTAATTGAACACAGGATAACCGATCAGCAAAGCAACATTATGGCTCCTATGGCTTTTTTTTTTTTTTTTGCCAAGGTTGCCCAAAACAATCATACATGGAAATTATTACCAGCAAACAGAGACATCAGTTCATCTGGGGAGACTTTTTCGATCGATCTCCAACGTTCAGTAAGACTCTGAATATTGAAAATCTGAATGTAAATACAAAAAACAGTTTGTGCTCCAGAAAAAAAAACAGAGAATCAATATTAAACCACTTACGCCTTTGATTTTGGTATGTTTACGGGATCTATCTTACAAATGGCTTGATTAGGTTCTGAGATATTCATAATGTTGCTGCCTGAAACATCGATGTTTGTCTGTCTTTGAAGTTTCTCATTTCAAAGAAAGATCCTGGAAAAGCAGGGTTGATTTTGATCAGCAGTAGACCCTCCTTTCCACCAACCATGAACACACCAACCAGTTTACACTTTTACATTTTCATTAAAAAACATACGTGCGTATGTGTGTTTGCCACTTACGTTGGCTTGGATGCTTCTGCTTGGTCAGTTTGGAGTTTCTCACCGCCCTCCACCTCCATGGTGCAGTAGACGATCCTGTTGGGAGCCAGAGACTTTAGCCCCACCACTTCCATGATCACCACCTAGGAAGCACAGACACCTCAGTGAAGGTAGCAGACGACAAGCGGTGAGTCATCTCTTTGAAAGGGTCATGGAGCAAAATGCCAACAGCAACATGTGCAGGCGGCAAATCCTTCCACACGGATATTCTAGAAATACACTTCCCATCCGAAACTGATGTACTCTCACAGCGAGTGCCCTCATATTACCGAGACGTAGATTTTAGCAGGATTTCTAATAGAAGAGAACATTAAAATGACAGATATCTGTATTGCAAAGTAAAAAAAAAACTTCTCATCACAGAGACTGCTTGTAGGCATAATCTACGAAATCAAATTTTATATGTAGTCCTTAATAACTCTGTGAACGCAATATAGCACTAACACTGCCTCAGGGGACCATTATGCTGTAACTGTGGATTTCCATTGGGCAGAAATATGTGCTGTCAGGATAATGACCTGAAGCAGCAAGCAGGTCTCTGTGTAATTATGGCGCTGGCGTGTTTTGTTGGATTGTTGCAGTTTGTTCAGCGGTTTTCAATCAAGAAGTGGTCACTGAAAAGAGGCTCACATGGATTAGACCTGGATCTGTCTCCACAACTAGGTTTAACACCCGGTCTACCCAAATTCTGCAATTACTAGAATGATCATATGGAGTCATTTTGACTGCTCAGTCTTAATTTGCAAATAATTTGGATAATCAACAATAAAAACTTATAATAAATTGGTGGAATAGATAAAAAACACATCAGTAAACAAAATAAAAATCATAATGAATAAGGTTTTTAAGAACCTTCCTCAAAATACCAAGACACATCATTCCCTGAGCTTGCTCATCCATTGGATTCTTCCCCATTAAGGCTCTGAAGCAAGGCTAAAACTTCCATACTTTTCATTTTTCTTTTAGTCTCTTGAGTTTTGAGTGAAGTTATAGCAAGATTTTAGCTTCACAGAGCTTGAAATACGAGACAAACAATAGAGCAGGAGAAAGAGCGGGAAAATGTAGCAAATGGAGAAGTATAACACCCTTTGTAAAAAGCATGCAGTTATACGACTCCTCTGGTAGTTCGAGGTAGTAATACTCAGATCTCTTTTGTGTTTTAACTTTTTTATGATAAAACAATGTTAGAATAAAATATACACATTTAGGAAAAGTCAAGGTGTGACTAGTGTATAGGTTCTATTTTTAAAAAGTTAGGACACTGTAAATTTTGAAAGCAGTCGAAATGACTGCCTTGGTAGTTCGAGTGTTAAAGCTTTTCTAGCACAGGAAACAAAAGTGTAGGTGAGTCTATTATGATATGCTCAACAGAGAGAAAACATTTTAGTGTTTGTTTGAACGATCAAAATCGTACAATATGCAACCACTGAAGTTGTTTTGTTGTAACAATTACACACTGGAGGACAAACCTTGGCGTAATATCAACTTAATCCTCCAAAATTAACAAACAAATACAAGCAGACTCGTCTTATTAAGAGTTTCAAACTTGGCTACGGTGTCCCTTTTTATGCAGCACAATGATCACATGGGGAGTTTTGTTCTTTGTTGTAAGAGTTGCAATCACACAGATATTAGGGAATTCTGCCTAAAATAGTGAGCAAACAGAAGGTTTATATGAACAGACTATGCATAGTGAGTTACGAGATAGATGAGATAACAAAATAAAGATCAGATCAGGACATAACTCAAGAGTTTTAAAAAAACAAAACAAAAAGTTTTCCAAAACAATCAATGTTACTCGTGGCTGCACTTTAGTTTTAGTTGTTTTTTTCCTAAAAAGAGTTGTGGGAGTCATCGAGTTCACCTATATCTCTTATAGCAACTTCATTATACCAACATTTCCATGCTGTTATCCACGAGGTTTAAAAATGACAAAGAACTTGATTTCCCTGGTGTGTTGCAGGAGTGTCTGGCAGCTGCTGCTGCGGCCGACCACTCAGAAAGTAAACAGACTAGAAATATGAGGTTTTGCCAAAACACCATGGAATTACCACCTCGCACAAATAGCTAATTGCTGCTATTGTGCAAGAAATACTAGGATTAACAAGCTGTAATTTTGTGTCCTGGGTTCGTGTGAGGGAGCGGAAAAAAAGAGCAGTTATGTCCTTTGTACATTCTGTGCTTCCTGGTTCTGAAATCGTACCGCATCATAAGGAGCGAGGTGCAATTGCCCTCTGTTTCGTGGTGAGAGTTCACCTCAGACAAGCTGATAACAAGATGAGTCACGTTCACCATTACAGAACAGGTAAACGGGTTTGTGTGAGTGTGTGTGTGTGTGTCAGTCTGCTCTTCACACCGTGTCTGTTCAACCCCCAGAACAGGTCTGTTGTCTGTTTCTATTCTTAGTCCTGAGCAGTCAAGTCGTCAACAGCAGCTCTGATTTATGAGTTCGTCATAAGGCAGAAGGAGTTTGGAGCTGAGTTTTACCTCGGATAATGAGATTTTGTTTATACCATGTGCCTCAGTAAGAAACCCTGAGATATAATAGTGTGCAAACATGATCAAAGGGTGTTTCCTTTCATTAAACCTTCATAACAGACTTTTTTTTTTTCATAGCACCGTACCTCCAGAGTGAAGGAGAGGACAACATCCGACTTGGACAGCGTGTTCTCGTCCTCCTGGCCCATGTCAATGATGGAGGTGTTGTGTCCCCGTTTCAGCTTTTGGAGTTTGAACTCTCCTCCCTTGGCCACTGGCATGCTCTCCAGATTGGCCATAAGCTGATTCACTGAGGACTTGAGCTCTTCGATGTACATGGCTTCCATCTCCTTTGACACGAATTTGGGGAACTTGCCTCCCTGTTAATGATACAGAGGAGACCTGATTACAAATACAAACTCATGTCAATATAAAAATATAAAAAACTCACCACTTTCTAAAAAAGGACAACCTTTTTCCACTCTTTCTGTTTTGTTTCCATCAGTTGTACCATATTTGTGAAATATTAACAACATAACAAAGCATATCTAAAACCAATGAGCCCTCCTGCAGAGCCTGACTCACTCTGGCAATCTGGTCTGCCATCTGAAGACGACCATCCAGTTCTCTTCTGATCTGTGCGGCCTGCTCGTCCAGGTTGTCGAGCTATTGATAGAAAGAGAAGAGCAGATCAATGAGAGCACATTAATACAAGCAGGGGTCAGTGTCAAAGGTCAACAACATTTCCCAGCAGCATTTATCTTAATGTGAACGATGGGAAACCTGAGAGGTCCTTAAATAATGCACAAACATAGTCTTTGATTTGAAGTTACACATGCAGATTCAAGTCTATCTTTTGACATGAATAGTAAACATATTTGTACACATTCACATCGCACCTCAATTATTATAATAAGTTTATTTTTTCTGCTACCTGCAAAGGTAATAGACAGCACTCTCTGACCTGGATTTCTTGGACAGATCATGTGTTTGGTTTGTGTGTTACAGACACAGTAGTAAAAATGAGCATCATCAGTTTAATTTAGCTGCCAACAGCACCTTTGCATTGTAAGTTACTGTGTTAGTTGAAACCATAGACTGCGTAAAACCTGGGACAGAGCGACATCCTTAAGCAGTAACCTTAAACAGAGATAATGAGCAAGTAGATGGACTTTGAAGGTCGGGTTTCATCATTTTAGCGGAATCTAAAATTTCAGAAAAATCCATATCGCTGAGAAATGCGTAAAAGGCTTGTCATGCATGCTGTCAAAGCACCCTAGAAAAGAGAGGTCCTTTGAAAGTGGGGGAGATGGAACTCTTCTTTTTCCTACTGATTTCATCCGTAAAACTGAAATTTGACCATTTTGAAATTTATACACAAGAAAGAGCAATTTCTCGCTGAAAGCCGTGGGGCAAAGCTTTCTTTTTAAAAAAATCAATCCTAGCCTTTTTGGCAATTTAAGGAAAAAAAGCAAGCTGTTATGTAACTTATTTAAACATTTGAAAACTGTCCGAGTCGGACAGTATCAGCTCCGGGCCAAGAGGTCGGACATCTTTAGACCGAGTTGTTGCCCTGTAGTAATGAAAAGCTGAGAAATTCATTCTCCTATCAATAATGAATGGGAGTTTTATATTAGCTGACACAAGGAAATAGAAACGAGGGCTGATGTCTCTGTCTTGTTCCCTGTGCGCTTTGCTCTTAGTTTTTCTCTCAGCCAAAACGACTCATTCTTGTCAAATGTGATGTTGTGACTCACCCGTCACCGCTGTTTCCTCTGCGAGGATGGCAGCCTAATTGAGACATATCTGCAGCACAGCTGTACCTGGGGAGTCACTAGCCAGTGTTGTACAAGTCCTTCAGTGGAAATAAAATCCACCTCTTCTCACCTGAGGGGTTGTTGTATCTCAAAAAATATGAGGAGAGAATGATGGGACAGTTTTCACGAAGCCTATAATCACTTTTTTCTTATTTTTTTACAGCGGTGACAGAAATAACTACGAAAAACAGCATGTGGATTTTAAATTTGCTTCTTGATACCAACATTAATGACTCTAAAACTCATTTGACAGCCCCAAAATCCAAATATTTTACATCCAGAATAGTAAAAGTAAATAACCTTTTTTCTATTAAGACTTCAACAACTCTTCCTACCTCAGTTTTACTTACTGTAAGATGTCAAAATGTGTGTTTTAGAGCAAGACGAGATAATTTACTGTCATGCTAAATAACATCCAGAGAGGAGGAGAGGAAGCATCTTTTTTGTAAATTAAAAAGCAACAACTTAACTTGTAAATATGGGAGGGCATTAGTTGTTTTTCATGTGTCGGATGTGCTGGATGTCATGTCCGTTGTGTGCTGCTGGATTCCTGAAATTTCCCTGGAGACTGATAAAGTATCTGTTTATCTATCCATCCATTTATCCATCTATCTATCTATCAATCCACCAGGCTTTTATTTCAGCACTTGCCATACAACAATAATGTACTCCAAACTGCTGTACATTAATGAGCAGTTTGGTAAACTTTTGCTTATTAAACATCGACACTTTTGTGATTCAGTGTTGTAAACTTCTGGTCCCCCCGCTGCTACAGTATAGGACGCGTGCCAGAGCTGACCTCCTTGGGCCTTGTGGTATTTCACCCACTTCTATTACATTAACGGCCCTTGTCTTTCAGCCTTTGCCATATTGATTCTCTGCCCCCTTCCAGCAATGCTTTTTAAGAAAGAATGAGCCGAAGTCACGGTGCAGCCGTTAACTGGAGGGGAGGGGACGTGCATAAAAGGCGCTGCACGGCTGAAAAGACTGGATCAAGTAACACAGCATGGATATAGCCGCAGAGATATAGAGGTCAGACACTGAAAATTAAAACTGCTCAGTGTAAAATATAGCATCTTGGTCACTTGACCGGCAGCCAGCTTTTACATAACTCAGTTTTTTTTTTTTTGCTGTCTTCAATCTAGGTTTTTGCTGATTTGAGTATTTGCTACAGTAGATATTTCTGAGATTGATTCGGTTCACTGATGTGCGCAATATGAAATGATGTCAGCCAGATGGCATCTTAAATAGAGGAGGTCTTGTGTGTTACCAGCACTGGCCACTAAACAGCCACCCTGCTACATAACCCAGAGTTCTTGTTTAGTAGAGCACATAATCAGACTTCGCCACCAGCTGCAGCAGAATGTCTGCACTTGCAGCACAGTAGTACTCGGTACTCCTCTGCCAACAGTGACACTCAAACAGTGGAAGGCAATCTCAGAAGCAGTCCATTTTTTTTCATTGTCATGTCCTATAGCAGAAAACCAGATTCAAACCATAACTGTCACTGATGCTGATTGCTTTCCTGCTTGAGCTGTGCTTGAAAAGCTCCTTTCCTGCGGCTGCTGGCGATCCTGCACCGCCTGTCAAAACACTCTAAGCTCTGGGCGCTATTGGACTGTGGTGCAACGGCGACATCTGACTCGTGCAATCCCAAAAGAGCTGTCTATGCCATGCCTGGAAAACCAGCAGCATCAGCCTGTTGGTGTCTTACTCTGCAATTTTGTTTAAAATACTTTTCCCTGAATACAACAGACCTTAATCCATAGGTGCAGGTAAAATCTTAAACCCCCAGATACACTTCAGAACCGGCTTTGAATACAGCAGCAGGGCACAATATTAGTCACTTGGACTAAATACAGATTGCATCTCATCTGCAAAATGGCTAACATGAGAGGAGTGACTCTGAAGCATGAAATGTGAAGGGGGATGGGGAGAGTTTCTTCTATCTCTGTCTTGACAGCAGGGAGAAGCTAAGAGGCCTCTCCTGGCAGAGGGAGGCAGTACAGATAAAGGTTTTGGAGTCTGTGTGAACCACCAGCCCCGCAGCACCTAAATCTTATCACTCTCACAACTGCTGATAGGTCACTGTTGCCTATGGCCCAAAAAGCTTAATATAACTGCGTGGGAACCCTCACATTATGAAATAATACCGGCGAAAAAGGTAAGATTCAATCCATGTTACAGGAGCTGACAGCAACCCTGCAGCTAAGTAAAGGTGACAATGTGTCAGTGTTGGCCAGGCTGACAGCAGGTTAAAGGTGACGAAGCAGAAGCAAGCGGGTTGTTAACAGCACAGCTGATGACAGATACCAAGGTGAATGCTGGGACTTTATTAGTAGAAACCACACCGGACAGTTTCGTAGAGAGAATAAAGAATGAGCGAGCATGTCTAGTTCAGAGCTGACTGAGTCTTGGAGGAGTCGAAGCAGCTGGCAAAGGCATCCTCAGAGAGTCTGTTTGTGTTTGAGGTTATTAAAGGAATCAATTTGAGAGAGTTTGTTTGAGAGTAAAGGCACAGCATCTTAATTAAGGGAGAGGCCTGTGAGAGTAAACTCGAAAAAATCCACATGTAAACTTTCTAAATCACAGTTAACTTGCAGACAATGTGGGAGGCTGTTCTCTACATTCTTACCCAAACTTTCCTTTTTTTATCAATCAATCTGTGTTTAAACTTTCTGTAACTTACTTTCTATCTAAGAAAGTCTTCCAACTTTTAGAGGATAGGGGACCAGCATCCTTACTGTTTTGGTTCATTCTTAGATTCAGCTGTTACGGGTGCTACAACGCCGAAAAGCCCACTGCTCGCTCTAGGCTGAGTATCAAAGAAAAAAAGACGAAGAGTTTGAAATTTCTCTTGACTGTGCCTAGGGAAAAAAACAAAGCTCATAGGAATGTGAAAATATGAAAATGATGTTTCGACTCAATGTTCATGTTATTCTGTCAGACCACTTTTCACTGATGAATTTGCTATTTTAAATCGTATCAGTGAATCTATTGCCGAATGTAACAGTAAGATTATAAAATGCCATTGTCACATAGCAGGACACAGGACAGATAAAAAAACAACAACATTATTGTCAGATTTCTCACCAAAAAAAATTATAAACAATGACATGTTGAATTGCTTTTTTGTTGATGAAGGAAAAAATATGCACTTTTTCCTATTTTCTACGTTCATTTGAAGATTTACTGGTTCAAAACTATGCCATTTCAATCTGGTTTCACCCTGTGTTCAGCACCACTGCTTTTTAAGCTCAGAGGCGGTTGGGCAGGCATAGCAAATGCTTTTATCCTCTCCCAATCCCGTGTGCAGTGGAGAGGCTCCATTACGCAATTATATCAGCCACAGGCCAAAACCAGGAAGAGCTCAGGCCTCATTTCCCAAGTAACACTTGCTGACAAGACAAATTAAAGGGGAAAAGTAGGGGTCTTCTCTAAAGCCTGTGGGAGGGAAAGCTGATTTGAGTATGCTCTGTCAGTAATGGGGGCCCTGCAGGCCATGATTTACTGCTCTGTGGGGGGAAAAAACTCATTCTTGATAGATTCTGCCTTACTTTGACTCCCAAGCTTAGGTTATTCAACCAGCTTTATGAGATAAGGATATCTTTTTAGATGCTGAGAGCCAACTGATGTGAATACAGTATACCAACCAGCCATAACCTTATGACCAACTGGGCAAACTGATACAAGCAAATATAACAGCTCTTCCACAAATTCTACTTTTATGAAGCTTCTACATTGCTGATTTTTTTGTTGACATGGTCAGACAGGTGATCATTGTTTTTAAACTACATGTTTGAGTAGTAGTGGGTGTTAGTGGTGAATCAGGTTGCATCATAATGACAGGTTTTTTTAATATATCACTCCCCTTATGTCTGTTAATGAATAGAAAACAGAAAAGAAAATAATATAACATGTGCTAGTATATTACCCCACCTCCACCTATTGCGTCTTAAATAATAAATATTGAGTATAATAACCTTCTGTCTGGTCATGCCAACAAAAACTGAAAAATTAAAAGCTTTCTGAAATGTGAATTTGCAGAAAAGTTGTTGTAGTGTTTGAGGGAAAGCTTTGAAACTTTATTATTGAAGATTTTCTGTCTTATAAAATTAATGTGACATGAGGGACAAATCTGTAGGGGAGAGTGGGGTAAGATGAGCCATTTTCCATATTTCGGATCACTACATCAAGGCAATCATAGTTTTGTCTCTAACTAGTGTATCTGCAAATATTTCAAAATGTTGTGAATCCCTGCAAACCAACAGAATGAGTGTAAACATAACTGTCTTGGTAATATAGCATGCCAAAAAAAAAGTGGTCTCCCATGGTCAACTTACCCTCTGTATGGGGTAAGTACCAGTTACAATACCAGTTACTGTACCAGTTGAATAGTGTTTAATAGATAAAAAAGTACACATGAATGTGAAGAAGTGACTGTTATTTAGGGAGAGAGAAGGTGAGGGAGGGCTGGGGTGGAGATGTGGGGGGGTAGTAGGGATACGGCTCAACTTAGTCCTCTAAGCTAAAATGGTGGAATTTTATGCTAGGTTTTTGACCTCATGTTGTACCTCATAGATACCACAATTGATGTATAAAAATAATTTTAAATGATCTTTTTCAGTCTGAAAACAATTCTAATCAAACTTATGACAGACTAAATTCCCTTTCAAGAGTTGAGGACGAATATATGAGTTTCGCCGGTTGGCGGAGTACAACCTTTCACGCGAAGGAAAGGAGAGCGCGGAACGTTACCGTAGAGGCGTTACCATAGACGCGTTCCCGTCACGTGACGTTGGATTTAAATCTCGGTTTCCCTTCCGGCAAACATTTCGCCAACAAACCGCCAGTGAGAAAGTGAAATCTGTATGAACACATTGTCAAATAAACGCAAGAAACAAACAGCTAGTCGGTAGAAGAATATCCAGAAATGTCATTATATATCCTCCATAAAGTTTGCGAGTCAACCGAGCACCGCGCATGGATTAACGGTCACGGAACAAGCGAGCCTTCACACAAACCTTTTAGAAGATCTTGTTGGAGAGCAAAACAAAGCCCGAAAACAGCGGATATGGACTTAAATTCTCCGGCAATCCAAAAGCAAGACTCAAAACGAATACCAACGTTGATCCAAGTCAGTACGGTAAGCAACTGTTTGTTAACGTTTACTCCAAGGAGGTCGGTGGAGGAGCTCTGCCCTCTAGTGGTCACATGAGGAGTCGCGCTGTGGTGAAGTAACCTCAAAACTAACAGCAGTTGAATACACTGTTGAGGAAAGCATGCTCAGTTTAAGTTATAAATCAAAACATACTTACTATATATAACTTTTAGAAATAAATAAACTTCAAGAAATTAGAAAACTTCCACACTAAACTAAAAAAACTCACTGACTTAAATAAGTCATTGTTCTGAAACACCCCATTTGTTCCTGATGGAGCTCAAAACTACCTTCTAAAAACAGAATGAAAAGTTGGCATTACTTTTTTATATATTTTACCTCCAACCACTTATTGAACAAATAGTGGATCTAGAAATATTTTCATGAGAGAATAATACATAGATTATGATACTGAGCGAGAGAGTGTTAAAAATCATTCTGTAGAAAACGTTTTTTTTTAATGTGCTCTACTTTTTGAAAATGCATTTATAGCAAAGGCCTAAGATTATTTTGAAAATACAAATTATCATTGAAATGTGTCAGCTGGCTATTTACTCCATTGACAATAGGAAGTTGCAGGTTCTTGAACCCTAACTCTCTGTTATTCATGCAACATCAAAAAGTAACAAAAAGCTGTATTCATTTATTCATTCACTTGTGGTTCAAAAAACTGCTCAGAGATGTAAACACCAAGCATATTTTATTACAGTTGTTGGGTTATGCTTGGTGTCACCACAGCTAAATAACTGTGCAGCCACAGGGGACGGGAGCATGCTCTGACTCTGCCTAGTGCCCCCGCTGGCCATACCAGTCTAATCAGTCTGTTAGTCATTTCCAGGGGGCTGCTCTTACTTCAGCATGAGACCGAAATAGTCTAGTGCCCACTTTCTACTATTCGGATGTAACTGCAAAAAAAAAAATGTTAATCCCTAAGCAATAACCGCTAAAAAATGATGGCCTCTGAATCCCAGCCAATCCATGAAAACCTTTCATCAAATCCCAGCAGCCCTGAGCTGCACTGACTGGATTGCTGCCTCTCCTTTTTTAGTGAGGATTTTATCATTTAGTCGAGGGCAATATATATGGCTGCTGGTTGCTTACAGAGATTTTTCAAGTCAACATAAGCACAGGCAGGTGGGTGCTTCATAAAATCAGTTGAGAAAGCGAAAAAAAAAAGAGGGAGGAGTGGAAGAAAAGCAAAAGTATGCCATTCTCACAGGTAAATTTTCAACTAATCTTCCTGCATAACCTGAATTGACGTAACAGTATCAAACCACAGTATGTAGCTGTACCTATCTCTATAGTATGCCTTTTTAATCAGGTATTGTTGAGCGTTCCCCTGTAGCCCTTGCAGTGCTCAGAGAGAATACGTTCACAGAAACAGCAGTATGTTTTACATAGAAATTCCCAGTCCTGTACTAATAGTTTTGTTGCCAGCATGGAATAAAAATTGTAGGTTACACACCCTCAACAGCTCGGGAGAAAAAAAATTCTCATCAGAGCTTGAGGTTACAGCAATGTATTGCAATGCATTCGAAGCGTCTAACAAATGAACACTGCAGAACAGTGCTTGTATTGATTTCCACCAGCTGAGACATTTGAGCAATACCGAACAATGTAATTTTTCAAACAGCATGTCTCGTACCATCAGCACAGATTTATATGTTAGCTTCTGTTGAGAAAAGGATGACACCAGGTCTACACCAAAATCAATGGCTTCCCAAAGCTGTGTTCAAATAGATCTACACGTAATGAAGAGGTACACCAGCAGATGCGAATGCGTCCAATCCCTCCAAATACTGCCGTGATAAGACTTTTAATCAAGCTGCTCGAGAAAGAATGCATTAGCGCTTCTTTCAGCGTCCCACCGAGAGCAGTAAAGCAGGGAAGACAGCAAGGGAAAGAGTTATGTCTGACACAATCAACCCCATGTCCATTATTATCAACCTGCTATCTCAACGTATCTCCCATACAATCTAATATGCTGATGTGGTGTGTTCTGTGAAGAAACATTCATCTAGAATTGGTCTAATCAATCTCTGAATCCTTGTCCTTGGAAAATATTGAACGCACTCTGAATCGTTTGATAGTCATCATCATTAATGTGGTTATTATTGTGTTTGCATATTTTCTCAATACACCTCCCATTTTATAGACAACATGCGCATAATGTCATGGTAGGCAGAGTCACTGTCATCACATCCAATGAGCGCTGGAACATAGCACCTATCAGCACCTATTGCTGAGGGGGGTACTGTGTACTCTGAGGAAAGATTCGAGGTAAAAGCCAGGTTTGATCATTTTGTTTTCACTCATCTGACAAGTTTAGTTTGAAATCGTAACTTGATTTTCAACAAACGACTGACTGACAACTCTGCAGATAAATGTGGACTCCTGCAGTGGCCTCTACGGCATCAGAGCCAGAGAGGAACAGCTATAGAAAACAAACACTAACACAAGACTCATTGAATTTTCCATAGCCATTAGTCTCTGCTGTAAATCAACACAAGAATCTATCCCATTGTGAACTGAACTAACCTAAGGGTTCATAGACATTTCATCAGTACGTTCAATGTGTGTTTTTGTGAGCAGAAAGGTTTTGATATCAGGACTCTCTGTGCATGCTTTGGCTGCACCTGTGTAATGTTTCAGTGCCTATATAGGCTGTATATATGTCTCATAACAAGCAGAAATAAAGGTATGTTGTCCATTCTGTATATAGTCCATGGTCTGAGCCTGGTCGTGCTCAGAGTTTCAGCTCGAAATAGACTGAAAGATACCATCTTTAATGAGAGGAAGATGCTCTCTGCAGCAAAAATAACAAACACTTGAAACTGTGATAATACAATCAAGCTTCAGAAGTTATGAAGTTACAGTAACTTCTACTGTACCCATCACATCACAGTATCTCTGGTTCAGTTCTGACCCATCCTTGTGTCTTTCCTCTGATTTACTGTTTGCCTCAGGTAAAATTAACACTTAACACACAGTATCTACAAACACTGGATTACATTTGTTTTTGTCATGCGTTTACTCGAATCAATAATTCATTATCTTTTTACATTGAACTATATTCCAGTTGTGATTATGCATTATTCATGAAGCAAAAGTATCTGACCTGATCTTAATTCCTTCTGTACTGAAAAAATCATGTAAGTGTAGTTTTTATTATAAATTAATGAGAGGCAAGAACAGTTTAGCAGATGGTAAAGATGTCTGGTTTTAAAAACAAATTATTAAGCTCTAACAGTCTACAAGCCTTCAAGTACAGAGGTTATGCTTCAAGCTGCCTGCCTAGGTTTGTTTCCTGCCCTGGGCCCTTCCCAGCATGTCACTCCCCATTCTCTATCCTCCATTTCCTGTTCTGTCCACTATCTTGTCTTCTTCAAATAAAAGAAAAACCCTAAAATAAATCTTAAAGAAAATAAGTACATAACAATTTCCTGCAGTCCCTTTAAATGCCAGGAAATCTAATTCCCGTCCACATCTTGACGTCACTGTATCTTTGAGAAACTGTAGGGATATTTTTTTTGAGTCCGAATCCCCTAAAGAAGATGTGATCGGCATCATTTTAAATATTTTATCGATCTGATGTGCAAAAATAACCTTGTAATAGCACCTCAAGTCCACATGTTTGAAGTAAAAAGCAGGTATTATTGTTGGCATAAAAAGCCCTCAGTTGTGTAACCTGAAGAGCTTCTCATCTTACCTGACAGGCTTGATACAGCAGCTGATGCTCAAACTTTTTGATGCCAAGGACATTCTGAAACATCTCGTACAGCTGGTCCTTGCTGAGAATCAGCTCCGACGCCGCACTGGCAGTCATGCGTTGCTGTGCCTTGCGGGGATCCTCGTCTCCACGATAGATGGTGTCAAACTTGGCCATCCAGGAGCTTAGCACGGTTTCCTTGCTCAGGCCGTCGATCTCCGGAAGGCTGCGCACACGCTTCTCGATGTGCCTCTTGAACACCTCTCTGAAATCACTGGCCGAAAAGCCGCCGCTTTGAACCATCTTGGCCACACGGTCGCTCTTCAGGAACACCTGGGTCATGAGAAAACAGTTTTAGTAATCATTAAAGAGATCTAAATCTCTTGGTGAGGCACATAATAATGTTAATAAGAGTAATGATTTTATGTTTAAGACTTCTGGACAAACTCAATACTTGGTGCAGAGCTGTGAGAGGCTTTTCTGTTGCTTTCTGTCTCAAACAGTAAATGTCTGTCAGCAGGAGGAAACCAAAAACAACAGTTGATGTTCATTTTGAATAAAAAGAATGGCAGGTCTACAACCATCAGCACGTACAGAGCTGCATTCTGTCTGCGGCAACTGACAGAGTAGCTGGGACACAGACAGGAGAGGCTATATTGTCAGAGCATCAAAAAAAAGTAACCATCAGAGCTGACTGCGCTGTCATTCTGGCTGCACTCACATTTTGTTCTTAGCATCCATAATGGCTAAAAAGCTGCGACTGCTGTACTGAAACACTACAGCACAGTGCTACATTACCCCTGTCACTGAGTGCATGTACAAGTGGATAACGAAGGTTTGCAGGCTGAAATTAACAAGATGTTAGGTCAGTCCTTGGTTTCCCAGCTGGAACTCTGCAGACTGCAGCATTTGGTTTTTTGCTAAAAACAGCATACACAGCAACCTGAGATCTCCAGTATTTAAGCTAATAATAGTTCTCCTCGCTATTTCAGTCAATGCATCTCTGTTTATAGTCAATAAGATGTACATATTTACGTATAAATTGACGGTTTGCTTTCAAAATTTATGTCAAATGCGCTCCGAGCTCAGTATACAGAGAAAGTCCATTATTGAGACTGTCACGGTAAATCTAAAACAGCCTTATTACCATACAACAAGAATAATTAATTAATCACTAATGCATCAAGATATAATTATGCTAACACAATCACAATGCTTGATGAGAAATGTTGGTAAATGTATTCAAAAGAATGTAAACTCTTGTTCATTGTCATTTGTAAAAGAAATCTTTGATGCATTTAAAGATCAGTATGTTATATTCCACTCCTAATTTGTCCTGTCACTCTTGCTTTGAAGCACTTTTACCTTTTAGTGGTAGAAAGTAATAAGACTTAATATGTCAAACATGGTCATAGAGTAGAATAAACCCATCAGTGTTGATTCAAGAACTTATTATTTATGTTTATAGAGTTTAAGGTTCGATATGACTAATTTTAAGAAGAAAGTCTAATATAAAATTAAAACAGTTATATTGGCTTGACTTTATGAAAACATAATCATTGCATAGAATGATAGTCTTTTCTGTGTAAGTAAGTATTTAATAAAATTTAACGCAAATTGTAAAAGCTTCATCAGGTCAATTTTAGGTGAAGACTTTAGTTAACAGTGCATTTAATTTCATCCTCACCTCCAGCTTGATATCAGAGTAGTTTTACATTCACTAAATAAACTCATACTGGAGGTATAAGGTAACCTCTAATTAACTTCTCCGCCTGTCTGTACATGCGTTTCCTCATAGTCGTCTATTTCCAGTCGCTGGTCTGTTTTTCCATCAGCGGTTTAGCTTTTAAGTTTTCCACAATCTGCTGTGCCATTTTTACTATATGCATTGCATGGTGATAATGACTTCTCATCTGTGGATTGAATAGGGAGGCGGGAAAAATGGCTGTGTCAGCCACATGCTCTGACTCATAATCTGTGCAGTGAAAAGCTTCAGCCACCATTTTACCACTCAGTTGTCTGAATACAAGCGTTTCGACATGGAAAAGCGAGAGGACCGTGTCATTTTTCATCAGCTTTTTAGACAGAGCTAGTTGCTTTTCTGTTTTTAAATGAGCTACATAACAAGTCGAGGATTTGGTGCATACATTATCGAGTACTTAAAACATACCTCACAGAATTGTAACAGATAGGAGTTGAAATGTAGTCTTAAAATTTCCCTTTTCCTTTAAACATTTGAAGATCCTATGATAGCAGTTTAAACGTTTCTGAGTTTGGATAACAGGACAGTTCGAACTGTAATGGGGCTTATATGGTTGTGGTTTATTTGTACCTCGAGAGTAATCTGTAAGATTTATTTCATGGGATGTCAAGGGTTTGAATGGACCTGTAAAGTGAGCTAGAATATTTGCACAATTTAAACTTTTAAAATGTGAAGTTGCTCTTCAGTGTCACAAACGTTATAGCTGATCCTCATGGCCATTTTATTATCATCTTCGGATCCCTTTATCACAAACCTGTACTCCTGGTTAATGTATGCACCCAACTGGGACGATGAGAAATTCATTGAAAAAATAATCTCATCCTTACCCGACTTAAACTCACGCTTCCTCATTTTTGGAGGAGACTTAAACTGTACAATTAACCCTTCCTTGGACCCTTCCTTCCAGCCTAAAATCTTAAAATCCTCTTCAAAATGGTTAAAATATTGTCATCGTTTTAGAACCAAATTGGATGTTTTGACCCTTGGCGCTTTCGCTTCCCTCATAGTAAAGTATTCTCTTTTTTTTACATGTTCATCATTCGTATAATCTATTTGTACCTCATTGTAGCTCTGCACTGCGTTGATGAATGCTTCGTCAGCCACAATTTGTGTGTCTCCGTTGAGGAAGGCTTGGAAACGATCCTTGGTCTGCTGAAGCTGCTGCTTGGTTATCTGTGGAAGGAAAAGAGGAAATCCAAGTATTAATACAAAGTAAGAGAAAAAAAAACTAAATGACCACCCAATTTTAAGAAACTTGTTCTTGGCTGGCTGGGCAATCCAAATATTCTTTCCCTTTAAAACCATCTCTAGCTTGTCTTGAGGGAACACTGGGCACTCTGCAGCAGTCAAGAGCCATCCTTGCTTAGTGCCAAAACCTCATCAACTCACTCCTGACAATGCCAAAGAGATTAAAAACAGCACCCCAAATCTTTACTTCCTGTTCCTACCAAATGAAGTGAAGACAGGGAGCTCATTTCAAGAAGTAGTAACCAAAATCTCATTATTCCTACCTCTACCCAGAGATCTTAACTGCGGATAAGAGTGGGAACTGAATTGAGAGCTTTGCTTTATAGCCAAGCTCTGTCTTTACTACTTAAAGGCTGATACAAAGCCTGCATTACAGCAGCCGGTGCCCCTAAACAGCAGTATCTCACAATCCTTTTTACCAGTGCTTATGAATAAAAGCCCCTAGATACCTGACTTCTTCCACTTGGATAACCCCAAGCTCAACCTGAGCTAAAATATCTACCACAACATACTCAGCTGCAAACTGCTCCAGCGGACTTTGAAGGTCCCAACCCAATAAAGCCAATAGGACAACAGCATATGCATAAAGCCTAATCAATGCAACAGGCAAACAACAGGCCCAAACTGCCCATGACTATAAAGAACATAAATGTTAATATCCTAAACTTAATGCTCTCATTTTACACAAGTATTGTATTTTCTCCCTCAGTACCATATACATCTACAAAAGTAGGATCCTCTTATATCAGAGATTTCGCAACTAACTGCATAGGTACTGGATGATGCTACTTATCTCTAAGGCAAGTATATTCCTCATGACTGAGACAAGACATCACTCATAATGCCAAAACAACACAAAGGTAGAGTAAGTCAACCGAGAGACGGAGTTAGGATGCCATGTTTAAGAAAAAAGCAACACAGCAGACGCTTAACGTCAAACAGCAGAGATCTACCGTGCATACATGGATTGTAAGGTCTTAAAATGTGTATGAGTTCGAAGGAGTGTTTGTGTTTGAGTCCTTCATTTTATGTGAGCTTAGGAAATATTCTAATAATCCATAATTTTTATGTTCTTTAAAATCTCTTCAGATTTTTATGATCTCTAAGCCTTTATTATCAAAACAGCCAAGATGTACCGTGCATACATGGATTGTGAGGTCTTAAAATGTGTATGACTATGAAGGAGTGTTTGTGTTTAAATCCTTCATTTTATGTGAGCTTAGGAAATATTCTAATAATTTATGATTTTAGATTTTTTTGATCTCTAAGCCTTTATCATCAAAACTGAAACAAAAAAAATAAATTTTGGACTAAATTAGGAACAAAAAAAGTTTCATGTATATCCTGATGTATTGAGCCGCCCCTGTAACAAAGATATTTGCATTGCCGCAGACTGTTAGAGTTCACACATTTATATGTGTTATGCCTTTGGTTTTAATAAAACAGACCAGACATGAGTCTTGTGTACACTTGTGTTCACTTGATATATTATAAGCAGATTTCCTGTTTGTGCTCAACAATCAATCTTTTGTTTTTATCACTTTCCCCTTTGTTTCACCTTTGATACTCACTCAGGTCGAGATGTCCTCGGATAGATTTCACTTACGGTTACTAAGTCTGTGACCTAACCATCAATAGGCTGACAATGTCTCCCTGACAACTGCTTTCAATCTACAGTTCAAGCTGTTGTGTATATCAAACAAGCTCAGGGACCTGCTGATAACACGTGTATGTGTGTCTGCGTGTGTTCAGCCGCATTTTGCAAGTGACAGACTTTGGTGTGGGCGTGAGATGGAAAAGTACCACATATCATGCGCCTTTGAGGCAATTTCAACACCATCTGTGTGCCCATCGTACAACTCCAGCCTCCCTTAATGTATCACTCGGAAAAAGGAGGTTCATGTAACATAAAATGTTCCTGTAAGAGCCAAAGTAAGACTTCCAGATTATAAAAACACCCCGTAAAAGGTTAGAAAATAGACCAGCTCACACTTAAAGCCTCAGTATCATCCAGGTTAAAGGTGAATCCTACACACTATCCCATCCATGATTACTGTCGGGTAGTGTCAGGATCATGTACCACTTATCGTCCAGTCACAAAAGATCAATTTACATCACACAACAGCACATCGAGAACATGAGAATCAATACTACTCCTGCTTCAAGATTTCAGGTGAATTCATCTTTGCCACGGCAAGATGAGACCTTTAAGAGCATGTGATCCATCCCTGCTATTTTTAAAAGACCACGGTGCTAAAGTAAACCCCTGTGGTAAGAAATATCATTAATAACACTCGCATTTAAAAGAATTTGATATGCGGAGAAGGTGAGCGGTTGAAGTTGACATACTGATCCTTGATTTTTGTGTGTCTGAAGTTGAAAGGACAAGCTTTAAAACATCAGGGGCCTCATGTATCAACGCTTGCGGCGCAAGAAAACCTTGCGTACGCCAAAATTGGCGCACACGTCCAGATTTATCATCGCGAAACGAGCGTCGGTTCCAGCGCTAAACAACGCAAAGTCAGGAGGTGGTGTAGAAATTGGCGTTGAGCTGGATATTTGCGTTGACTTTGATTTGCACTTTGGCGACGCTGTGTGGCGGTGTTTGGTGACTCACTATGTGACAAGCGTGCACCACATCCCCGTGGCCGGGCAGCACGTCGCCCCACATGACGAACCAGCAGCAGACGGAGGGATGCGAGCTGATCCCTGCCGGGCCGCCGTCCTCGCGCGGGAGAATCTCATCGCCACAGTGTGAATGGGTAAGAAGTGAATACACAGTTCAATGAGCCAAATTAATTTATTTTCTCCACCAGACGCTCGAGGAAATTTACGAGCCGGTCCAGCCGCTCGTTGATCCCCGCGATCCCCCTGATGATTTCTTCCTGCGATTGCAGGACCCCCTCCGCGAGGACCCTTCCACTGCGTCCGGGTGGTCCAGCGGAAGCGCCGCGGCTGGTGGACGCTCCACCGCTTGTCGGCGCGCTGGTGCTGATGCTGGTGCTGGGGCCGGGGGCCGGGGTGGCCCGAATGCCGCTGGTCCTGGCCGACGACTCCGAGCCGGCGGACGGGCTGCCGCGGGCCAGGGTTCCGCAAGCCGGCGACACGGCCGACACATTAATTTCTGTGACACAATAAAAATATTAGTTCATTTCAATTCCTGCTTCAGTGTATCTGTTGCGTTTACATCTCTCTCCACGGTATCATAGGTAATGTAATCCAGTATTTCGAGGTCAGTTATGCACATTACAGTTGTTTATTGCATAAAAAGTTATCGAAAAATGAAGTTAAGGGCGAAGTATAAATCACGTCTAAAAATAGACAGAATCCTGACGTTGAAATGAAGTATAAACTTAGACTAGACGTCTAATATACGTCTTTTGCTCAGTGGGATGACAAAGCATGTGGACATTTGTGCGACACGCCACTTACCCAATAATAATAATCCAGGTCTCTAGTCCTGAAGAGAGGGAAGGTGACTGACCGGTTCCACTTCTCTCTAGGGGGTACCCACATTCCATCAGTCACAGAGAAGCCCGTGAAGAGCCTCGGAAAAACCTTTGACTGCTCCCTAAAGGATGCCGCTTCCATCAGGGCGACCAACGAACAGCTGGAGAGTTGGCTGACCACAGTCGACAAGTCAGGTCTTCCGGGGAAATTCAAGGCGTGGGTATACCAGCATGGCATCCTGCCTAGGATTCTGTGGCCATTGCTGGTGTATGAGTTTCCCATCTCCACTGTGGAAGGGTTTGAGAGGAGGGTCAGCAGCCGCCTGCGACGATGGTTGGGTCTGCCTAGAAGCCTAAGCAGCATCGCCCTTTACGGCAACAAGAACAAGCTGACTCTCCCCATAAACAGCCTCACCGAGGAGTTCATGGTTGCCAGAGCGAGGGAGGTTCTCCAGTACAGGGAATCCAAGGACCCAAAGGTTTCCCAAGCAGGAATTGAGGTGAGGACTGGCAGAAAGTGGAGAGCGAAGGAGGCTGTGGACCAGGCAGAATCACGGCTGTGCCACAGAGACCTCGTGGGATCGGTGGCTGCCGGCCGTGCAGGACTGGGAACCATTCCAACAACCCGGTACAACAAGCTCAAGGGCAAGGAGAGGCGGGACCAGGTCCAGCTCGAGGTGAGGGCCGGAATTGAAGAGCAGCGTGCAAGCCAGTGGGTGGGATTGAGGCAACAGGGCGCATGGACCAGATGGGAGGAAGCCACAGACAGAAAAATCTCGTGGAACGAGCTGTGGAGGGCTGAACCCCTCCGCATTAAATTCCTCATTCAGTCTGTCTATGATGTCCTGCCCAGCCCATCGAACCTCTTCTGTTGGGGCAAGGTTGAAACTCCAGCATGTCCCTTGTGCCAAGGAAGAGGAACCCTGGAGCACATCCTCAGCAGCTGTCCTAAAGCACTTGGTGAAGGCCGCTATCGCTGGCGCCATGATCGTGTGCTGAAGGCGGTTGCTGAGTCCATCAACACTGCCATCTTCCAGAGCAAACGCTTACAACCATCAAGGCGTGAAATCTCCTTTGTAAGAGCCGGAGATCAACCACCTCCCCGACCTAAAGCCCAGTCAGGCCTCCTGGGAACAGCGAAGGACTGGCAGCTAAGGGTGGACCTGGGAAAACAACTGAAATTCCCTGAAAACATTGTGGAAACCAGACTTAGGCCAGACATCGTCCTAGTCTCAGAGACATCCAAGCAAGTCATCATGTTGGAGCTAACAGTGCCGTGGGAGGAGAGAATGGAAGAAGCAAATGAGAGAAAGAGAGAGAAATATGCAGAGCTGGTGGAGGAGTGCCGCAAACGGGGGTGGCGTGCACGATGCCTACCGATTGAGGTGGGGGGAAGAGGCTTTGCAGGGAAATCACTCTGCAAGGCCTACAGTCTCCTGGGCATCACAGGGGCACGGAAGAGGAGAGCCATCTCTACAGCCTCTGAGGCTGCAGAGAGAGCCTCGCAATGGCTGTGGATCCAGAGGGATAAGCAGTGGTTGAGTGCTTCTTGGACACGGGCCGGGAACTGATCACCCCGGTCGGGTCACCTGAGTGAGGGGGTCTGAAGTTGAAAGACCCGAAACCCCCGATGAGCTCAGGCACTATCACTGAGGATGTGTCCAAGAAAAGCATCACTAGATGTATGTAAGAACCATCGCCACCACCCGCTGCTCAAACGGTGTGAGGGTCTCCTCCCCCGGACCCCCACCTGTCTGGCCGGTACTCCTCCGGAGGGCAGCTGTACGCCGCTTGACCTCCACCTTGAGGTCCGACCACTTTTTTTTAATCTCCGCGGGGATGCGTGTCTCGGAACCCACCGCATTCACCCTCTCGCAAACTTTCTCCCACTCCAAGCGTTTTTGTTTTGCACTGACGCCACTGGACAGGCTGCCAAACAAAACACGCTGTCGCTCCTCCACCTCCGCCACCAGCACCTCCACCTCGCACGCCGTAAATGTAGTTTTTCTTGTCATTTTGTCTGCGTGCGAGGACAGGGAGACCCTATTTAAATAAATCTGCATATTTATAGGAGGGCGTAACGGGGACGGGCCCAGTCACTCCGACATCTGCGCTCAATTCCACGCTGATTGGGATTTATCAAGGAAACACACGTGGATTTCGGCGCCCGCACACATTGATACATACGGATTTTTTTCAGCGTGACGGACCTTGCGTGCTCTCGTTTCTGGTATGAGTTCCACGCAAGTGTTGATACATGAGGCCCCTGGTCTCACTTTTTTTTCTCATTTCTCATAACTCGAATTATAACAAGACATAAGAAGTAAGGAGCAGTTTTAGAGGCTTCATCTGTTCTTTCATGAAAACATATGTCTTATCATTAGGATTTTATTAGGACACTAGGATTTTAAAAAATTTGAGACATAGAGAAGGTGAGCGGTTGAAGTTGACATACTCATCCTTGATTTTTGTGAGTGTCTGAAGTTGTAAGGACAAGCTTTAAAACATCAGTCTCACCTTTTTTCTCATTTCTCATAACTCAGAATTATAACAAGACATAAGAAGTAAGGAGCAGTTTTAGGGGCTTCATCTGTTCTGTCATGAAAACATGTCTTATCATTAAAATAACTATGTACGAAGTCAGAGTCTTGAGTTTGAGAAATTCATTCGAGTAAAAGGGTGCATGAGAAAAAAAATGTCACTAACACAAGAAGCTTAAACGGAACGGAACAACTAAACCAAAATATTCTGCTACACCATGTGAGCTGAAATGCTTTCTGTCAAAGATTTCCGTGCTTTTAAAAAAGGTAGAAGACAGACTTGAACCATGCAGAAAGCTGAATGTTGGGGGCAGCACCAGCACTTATACTCAGTAGACCTACAGCCATGCATACATACTGTGTCTGTCTTCAACATAAACACATCTCTGTCTTTAAAATGTGAATTTTTCATGTACTAAATTAAAGATCTTTTGAGGTTTATGAATGAAACACACAATTTAAAGACATCACAGTGAGATCTGGAAATCCTCATTAGGGTTTTCAAACAGTTTTCTGACACATGACTAAGAAAATAATTAGGGAATAAAATCCACAAAGAAAGTAATCATTAGTTGTAGCCCCCGCTGTAATCAATGCAGCCAAGGACAGCGTGGCCTCTATTAACCTTACATTCTAACTCTGGATTCACTCATGGCGGAGGAGAATCACAAAGATATGACAATATACTCGAGGAGATAGGGTGTTGGCAGACATCCAAACACTGGCTGAACACATTTATGTTTTACCTGAAGATTTCGCCGCAAAAGGTCATTTGTTTTTGGCGATCTGACTTTACATGACAGCACAGAGAGCTGTTGGCTGTGTGTGTGTGTGTGTGTGTGTGTGTGTGTGTGTGTGTGTGTGTGTGTGTGTGTGTGTGTGTGTGTGTGTGTATGTGTGTGTGTGTGTGTGTGTGTGTTTATTTGGAGCAGACAATAAAGCTCACAGCTGCGAACCAGGTGAAATGTGGCTATTTTTCAACCCCACCCCCCCCAAAAAAAGAAACAGTTCAGCTGCATAAACTATTCATGAGTTCGAGTTTTGCGTGCTCTTTGCCTCAGTGCTGATTGGAGAACTGTGCTGATTAGTAAGCACGTTGATGGATGAGTGAAAATGCGTCCATTTTCATCAGTATTGCCAGACTCCCAAGACATACTTTCCTGCTTTGCTATTATTGATTCTCTCTCTATGGCTCTTATCAAGATTGCAGTGTTACACTGTGATTCATTGGCTCGCATTGAAGTGAATAGTGTCATTAATCACCTTTCACATATCAATAGAGGGGATATGCGCGTTTCATTGGCCTGATTTACAGTTACTTCATTAATGTTGAAAATAGCTATGGATTTGAGTTGAGTTCAACTATGTGGCTGAAACAATGCTGGAGTCACCGCAAAAAAATGGAGAACCTATGAATCTAATTAAGAATCATAAATACTGTTTGTACTCTGTCAAAGCAAACATCATCTTTTGAAGTGTGCTTGGGGTACTTGTCAGCAGTGTATTCGTTGAGGTCGCTGTTAGCTTCACTACTAAATGTAGATCTTTAATTTTCTGTAATCCTGCAATTCGATACAATACGATCGATACGATATGATACGATACGATTGCACATGATTTAGATCACTTATACAAGGAAAGAGTATAAGGGCAAGAGGGAGGAATATTTTGTTATCCATCATTTCTGAAGAAAGTCTAAATTTAATCTTGAAAGAAGTTGAAATTCAGTGTCAAGAAAAAATGCCAACGATCTTTAAACTGTAATGTCACCTACGCTGTAGTCTTGTCAACAATAGAAAAAGCTTAGCCCCCTGAAATTACGCACTCATCAACTAAACAGTCCTTCGAAATATAGTTAAAACTGCAAATCGACCTCAGAAAAGTGCTGTCAATTTACTCGGGTTGGTGGACTAAATGATATTTTGAAACTGTAAAACACAACAAGATTTTTGCAGCATTATAAACTATTTTTAACCTCTTATGTTGCACTGAAACAACAATTGTAATGTCCTTCAATATAACTCTTAATATTCAAAACTATCTAGAAAATAACTCCATACAAATGTTTGTCTCATTTTATAGAGAGATGACAGTAAACAGGACCCACTTAATCAAGCCCACTCTGGATATTTTCAGACCAAACAGCTACACATATTATGTCATCAGACTGATTTTAAAAAGATAAAAAAATTGAAGCTTTTGCTCTCAATAATAAACAGGCCAGTCATGTAGATTTTTTTATTATTATTATTATTTTAAAATTTACTCAACAAAACAGCTTAAGATGACTAGTTCAGTTGACATAAAGTAAATCTGATGACAGAACAGGGGTCAGGAGGTAGAGCGGTCGTCCAATGACCGGAAGGTTGGCGGTTCGATTCCCCCCTAATCCAAGTCTGTCCGTTGTGTCCTTGGGCAAGACACTTAACCCACCTTGCTCCCAGTGTGTGTGTCCTCCACTGGTGTATGATTGTGAGTGTTGTGTGGTGGTGGTCGGAGAGGCCGTAGGCGCAGAATGGCAGCCACGTTTCCACCACCACCAAAGTGTGACTGTGTGAGCGAATGAATGATGTATCCAATGTAAAGCGCTTTGAGGGTCTCTGATAAAGCGCTATATGAAATCTGATGCATTATTATTATTATTAAATGTTTGGACTTTATGATCACTAATAATTTTAAAACTGGCTAAAACAGTCTCAAAGACGGCAGGGTATAATTTATGAGAAGAACACAACAACATCACTGCAGATTAGTGTAAAAAAGAAAACAGAGCAATCAAACTATTAGGCCATTGTTAATGTTCCAGTTCAAGCTATTCTTCATATGAAAGTATTATGAGGAAGAGTTCAACTAATGAGCTTTTGGTTGGACGAGAGCTCATCGACCAACCAGTCGACCAATCATTTGTAAGGTTCCAACTGTCTCTTTCACTTTAGTAAACATCTCTCCTCTGAACAGTTTGACTTGTTCCTCAAAGTGCAGAAAGAAAAAAATCTGCTCCCTCTTGTCTTTTTCTCATTTCTGGCCAAAATACTTCTCCTTAATGAAAGTACTTATATATTACATTTCACATCCACCATTCGCAGCAAATTCACACTGATAGCAGAGGCTGCTGTGTAAAGTGTCACTAAGTATTAGCTAATATCATCCCCACAATGCTAGGACAGCCACTGGGGGCAGTTTGGGGTCAAGTATCTTGCCCAAGAACATTTTGGCATGTTGACAGTAGGGCATAGGATTGAACTTCTAGCCCTTTGGATTAGAGTCAACCACTGTGCGCTAACCACTATAGCCCCACACCTGAGATGGGTTTTGGAGGAGGGGAGGGCATGTGTAGATGGTGAATAAAGTGCTATTCTGGTCTTTTTCACACTACTCGTTGCATTCCTACCAGTCATACACACAGATTGCATTAGCAGGGACTGCCCACCAAACTCCTGAACAAGAGACGGCATACTGTACTTCTAAGCCACCAAGCCACAGCTGCCCCTGTACGTTCAACTAAACAATTAAATGTTGTCAACCTAGTTCATCTGGTCAAACAAGTTTTGTTTAGTTCTGGTTAGCTGCCATAATACTACAGTGGAATAAACAATCAAATAAATGGCATTTGATTTGCAATGTGGTTTGTCAGAGGATTGAGTCAAAGAAATGTTTCAGAAACAACTTGATCAAAACCTTATAAAAAGCTAAACCTAAAAAATATCATTTCACTTGCATAAAGAAGTTATTTTGAACTTTTTGTTGCTAACCCTGCTTTTCTAATTTCGTGTATTGTAGAATTTGTATATCACAACCTCTATAGATTGGCTGCACTATGCTGAAGGTAAACAATAAACTACTTTAAATGGACCTACTGAAAAAAAATCCATAAAGACCTGTTATTTGTTTTCCAAAGAAATGTATGAAAAGAAAATTTTGTTAATATATAAGACAAAGTTGCAAAGTTGAGATAAAAACACTGTACAACAAAAAACCCTTGCCAGTTACAACCAAACATAATTTCTAAGATATGCATCTATAATAGATGGAGCAATTCAAATATGATAAGCAATAACAGGGCTTGTCTATATGAATAGTCCATTTATATGGCTGTCTTCCTCTCTGTGTTTACAAAGAAAGTCTACACCATATAACACAGGCAGATTACATAACACCTTCGGTACACAATAATTATAAAAGACAGGAATTGTACGATGTTGTATAATTAATATGTGTATCATGAAGATTGTGTTATGATTCTGCCTCTTCTAAGTGTGGCTGTGAGGTATACAACTCATCAGCCGTCCTGCCAGTGCTGTGATGAGTGGAGTAATTAGCTAATTGAATGCAGTATAGGCTGTACTGTAGCTAGAGTACTTCAGCACATTAAAGCCTGCACTGAGCTGACTCACTCTTACAATTCCTCTACAAGTTACATAACATCGAAAAAGGGTGTTAAAGTAAGAATTTATTCAAACTCAAATGTCTGCAAAGTAAACGTGATGTTTCGGCACTCGAATGCACATCTGATCTGAATGGAAAGTGGGAATGTTTATGTTAAATTAAGATTACTATAAATATTTTTGTGATACACCCTGAGGATTTATGTGAACATGAAAAAGAGTGAAGTTTATGCATGAGATCAAATGTGCAAAGTAATGGTGAAAGGTTCTAATGCAAACTTAATATTCTTATTGTGTTGTAATCTGTTTGCTCAGGGAAGAGCCGCCTCCCAGTGCTGATGTTGGTTTTTAGCAAACAGGCTATTGTTGAATCCTCTCGCAAAGACAAACCATATTTCGGTCATGATGCAGATGACACTGCCGGCCAACATCTGAGTAAACAGCCAACACAAGTACAAGAGCAAGCGCTTCATGACAGCTGCACAAAATCTACCAGCAACTGGCCTCAACGAGCACAAAACCACAACATCATGTACTGTCTGCGGTCACCAAACTACAATTACATGAAGACAGATGCACAAGCTATTATCCCCAACCAGACGTAGTTGCATAGATTTGCTCTGAAGGCACATACACACTGAGTTGTGTGAGTAAATACCTCTTGGTTGGCTTCGTAAACAGCCAGGTGTATACTCTGCAGACAGAGCCTGACAAATGGCAAACAGGGATAAAACAGGGAGCTGTGTCTTTGTGTAACCAGCCTCCTCTCTGTTGTCATATTCAGGAGCTGTGACAGTGCTGATATATACAGGAGAACACTGTGTTCACAAGCAGCTAAGCCCCTTCTTGTAACAGTCATCCACTATCACACCACCAACTCACTGGCAGCTCAGCAGGTTTTCTCATTAGACTCAATTGGTTACTGTGCAGGAACAGCCCTTTAACCTAACATAACATAAACACTATGGACAAGTCTAGAGGGTAAAGAGAGTACGGAATCAATGGGACAATTTGCATAAATTTGGTTTAAAAAAGGATCAATACTCCAGTATTGATTTCTCTTTTTTGTGAGAACTGTATTGTCCAGAACAACAAAAATCAGATGGATACAAATTCGTACTCACAATAACAACTACAAGGCCTGATTTCGTTAAAATACACCCTTTTTTCCAATATTATGTAGTGTTGGTGACAGGTTTATACTCAACTCAAATGCTTTTATGATCAAATACTTCTTACTTTATTACTTTACACAAAAAAATCCCACAATGGTATAAGTAAAAAAAATAGATTTTGAGACAAATATTTATATAGATGAATAAAAAATGCTTCAATTGAAATATACTAAGAATGAAGTCATAGATTTATGACAAGACATCATACCACAAGTTTGTATGTGCAAAATGAAAATTGTCAACTTCAGTACAAGTTTTTAGAAAAAAAACTCAATCTTGACAGAAGAAGTGTTGGGATTCCAAACATGCAAGAAACAGAATCTGTTCTGAAGAAATGCAGGTCATTCAACAGCCAGCGCACACTTCTGCAGCCCGTTTGTCCTCAGCTGTTGACCACAGCCTCAAAAGATGATCCACATGCCTCATGAAATTGTCGGGGACTGGCTGCTTTTAAAAAATGTGCTTTAAAGAGAAAATTATATTGCCATATATTTATCATACTAAACCATACATTTGCACCAGCGTAAAGTTTTAATTGCTGTAGTTTCACCTGAAATGAAACATTTTGAGAGGTAGTTATTATAACTGAATATCATATTTATACCTCATCCACAGTGAGTGTGCATTCGCCAACTCCACTTGGTGATATTGCACCATGAATTAATTTGCATTTTTAAATCCCAACTGTTCTGTTTTCTACCAAAGAGGATGATGCTCATTTTAATGTACCCCATGGGTTCATAGTCTGTATTAAAAAGCTAATAGTAAATCATAATTCATTCATAATTTCCTTAATGTCAATTTCAAATCAGTCTCTTTGGTTTTTGTACATTAGATTAAACAAAACACGACCTTTTTTTTGTACTGATTTTAGACCAACTCTAGAAAACAAATTATTTGAAAATAAAAAAATATTTTTTGAACAAATATGAATGGGTATTGTTGTTAATTGCAGTTCCAATACATAGCAGAAAATTTGTAATCTTGTTGTGTTTATAAGTCTAAAGGAGGCTTCACCTGTAATAACCATGTAATAACAATGATTCTTTAAAAAAAAATGAATGAGAGAAAGAAAAAGTCTCATATAATAGAGAACATTATTTGTTTTCTATCGATTTATTTTTCTGTGTGGTTGTGATTAGCTTGTGATTCACTTGTTTAACCTAAAAACAGCAGCTATCTGCAGAGCTACAGAGCACAATTTATACTGCCGAGCACACAAAGCTGACTGCAGGTTGGTATCTCTAACTGGTGCATTACTCTCATCAACAATCTAAGACATAAATCCTTTGCTTCCACTCCCCCATCACAAATCACTTACTGTCTTTTCCTCTCTTTTCTCCGTCCAGTAAATCTCTCTCTCTCTCACTCTGCTTTTAAAGGTGATTATCTCAGACATCTATTTCTTTTTCCAATCTGGGCCAAGCTTGAGCCAGTCTTTTTAGTGAGGTTTGCATCTTTTATATCCAGGTGATGAAAGAAGATCATTCAGATCTGACACCTTCATTTGAGTAATTAAAAGTTTGTAAAGGAGAAAGGAAGAAGTGTGAAGAAAATACTCCAGTGGCATGTTTAAAGTTAGTATTTAACTCCTGTACCATTGTTCAACTGTTGAGAAAATTCCATTCAGACACAGAGATGTTTTCTTTTTGTTACAGGCCCTCCAACAGGGATGGGTTTTGTAGACAAGCAAACAAAAGAGTAGCAGCAGCCTTTAGCTGTAAGCCCTAAAAAATGACAAGAAAGAGGCTAGGTATGCGCTAACTGCTTTCAAACTACACTCCCTCTTTGTTGTTGCTGTTGTGAACATTTTTAACTTGTATTCTTGAGCTCTAATTGCATCCTCTGAGTCAGCTTCTGTCGTTCATATACACCTTTAAAAGCTGCTTTTTCAAGACCCACTCCGATGAAAATCATGTTTTCTTGTTTTTTTATATGTTCTTACTGAATTTTTCTGATGCTACAGGACATATCATGAGAAAACTAAATGCCAAATTGCTTTTCTGAGTATTTCTTCACTCAAATCACTGTGAATCTCTGGCAGACCCAAACGGCAGGTTCAGACACAGTGAGATGTCATACGTAACCAATCCAAGCTCCGGCCCCGCTATGTAGGTCACACTATGTTATGTGCTACTTCTACTACACCTGCAATGTTAGGCTGCTAGCTAACACAAAGAGGCGTGTGCAGAGCAGCGCTGTCTCCGCCCACAACTCAGAGGCGAATTAGTAATGAGCTACTGGAGCTCTGCAGAAGGAAAGCCTTTGAAAATGACACAGGTAATGTGATTTTGGTAAAAGCTTCATAATCACAATTTAAAGACCGCTGAGAAAAGCATTGGTGCTACTTTAGATGCCAACAGACTACCAGCAAACACAATGTTTGCAGGACTTCTACAACTAGGATTAAGTCACATAGTCCAGGACCCGAGCTAAACAGTTTAGCGGCGCTACAACACGTGGCAGGTCCAGTTTGACAAGAAACACTTCTGTTACAGACATTTGGCTTACTTCGTTTAAGTCGTTTACCTGTCCAGCATAAAGGTTACAGGGTCTGTAAGATCCCGAAGCCTCCCCTTTAATTTTATGTTGACCCGGCTTCTTAGCTCTTGTCCGGTCTACCTCCTTTAAGCACTGTTGTTCCGCCAGAGTCTCCGGTATTTACTTTATTTTCTAGCTTGTGTCGGCAGTCGTGGCTAAAGGAGGATTCGGACAATTTTCCGTATTTTCTGGTTGGTTTCTACTGTCCGATATTGTAGCACGCTAACTTTGTTTGGGCTCGTGAACGACACGGGGAGCAGCGTCCGCATCACAACCAATCAGGTCGAGAAGGCGGGAAATGGCTTTGTTTACAGTCAGAAAGAGCGGGCCGCTCAAAAGATTCTAAATGTTGACTACACAGACATAACAGAACACAGTGATATCATTATATTATCAAATGTCATCAATAACTAATAGCTTTTGACTGATATTAAAAGCTTTTTCGTATATACACCACAAAAAAGATGCTTCTTTAACGAAATCCTGCCTACCCCACCTTTAAGTACTAAAAAAATAATCGGAGTGGGAATTTAAGGCTGTTTGATTTGAAAGAGCTTATTCTGATGCAGTTCCTTCTATACGGATGTTTGAGAGTTTGAGGTTAGTGACGTCACACTGGTGGCAGAAATGCACCTCCGTACTGGTTGTCAGCTTCCATGAAATGACACATTTCAGGAATTGAAGTCTTAACTGTTGGTGGTAAGTTCAGGATCACTAATCCAGACTAACATATTTTGAAGCTATGGAGCCAAAGACTTATCTGCCATATTTCACAACTTCAATGTGAGAACGTGTTGAGATGTGTCAGCCATGACAGATGACACAGAAGCTACAGGCTTGTGGCTGCTGTTTGTGTTTGATTCCTAAGTGCGACTCATCAGAGCAAGTTCAGCAGAGGACAGCAGTAATGAGTCTCCTGAAGCTCTTATACCTCCATCTTCTTTCTTTAATGTGGAAAATCACCACTGCTAATCTGCCTCCCTGCTCTCGCCTCTGTCTTATTCCAGTCATGCTCCAGTCATTTTCCCCTTTGAAGCGATATAACGACATATATTTGCACAAAAATATTTTTTTCGACAGACAGAACAACCACCAACAGCTGCCTGCCTTCATTTGGCAAAAGTTTGATGATGCCACACTTTTGGTTCATCAAAAGAAAATCCAAAGAAGTTTTCAAGACAGTGATTATGACTCTCATTCCTCATAATTACGACTTTGAATCATTTGATTTTGCGAAACTAACTTAAAAGTTTTGAAAAAGTCACGACTGTGACGAGGCACACAAGTATTAGATTGAGATAGTTTGAAAAGACCGGATGATGATTATACAAGTTGATTTTTTAATTTGCTCTCCTTTTTACTAGTTGGTGATGTAAAAGTGAAGCGTTTTATAGGGCTTGTATCAAGCAGAGGGATCCCTAAATGCAGCAAATCGACATGAGAGGTTGCTTGAGCACAGTGTTACCCAAAGAAGGAGGGATGATCCCAAAAGGGGGGGTAGATGAGTCATGACAGGGGGTGTGCAGGAAGGCGTAATAAAAAAACTATTCATACAGGTCCCACAGGAAATGTACACCAAATATCACGTACTATGACATTTGTTTATGATAGGGTCACCATTCTGAATCCCTCAAAAGAGGACACTACTACGCAGGGCAGAGTCACAGATAATTTTGAGAGTCTTTGGGGCCGTGTTGAGTGTTTTTTACGCGCTTGTAACTCAGTTAGTCCATGTGACACAAACTCAAACTTTCCATACAAAACCCCGGATGTTTGAAGGATTTGATAAACTCCCCCGGACAAGGCCGGACGAGCCCCCCAAAAAGAGGACGTATGTTCATCTTAGTATACGACATCTGAACCAATAAACGCAGAATTAACTAGACTCTACTTTTTACAAACTACAATTTTTATCTTCTCTTGTTTTGACTCATTTCAAACAAATGCTTGCAGATGTTTCTTGTACAGATCAAACATTTTTCATTAATTTAGTTTTAGTTTGATAATCTTGGTCAGAATTGTGAGCATAAAATGTGCAGTCCCCCACTGTTTCAGCTGTACCAGCATACTTAAAAAAAAAAAACTATCTGTAAACCTTTTTCTCATTTGCATGAACAATCAAAGATGCTTATGTCTGCTGTCCATGTTCAACAAACCAGCTTTAACTCTCCACTGTTTTTCCCTAGCCTGACTCACATAGTAATGGCAGAATGGATTATATCTTTGCAGCAATAAAAAGCAGATGGACGCACACCATGCAGATTATTCTTCCTCAATCCCCACAAAAAGAATAAAAACACATCAACTGTCCACAAAAGGATGATTCAGCTTTATGTCCTATAACTGCGTCTCCTGGAAAGGAAGGGTTTTACTGTGTCCTACCATCAGGATTAAGGTTGTGCTGGTACACAGTTAACATTTGTCTACCCAAGGACAGGATTATATAGGCTCTGAGCGCACATAGGTTGTACTATAATTAATGAGTACATGCTGTGTTCTTGGAGACGGCAGTCAAATGTCTTTTTATAGACAGAGACCCCTCACGTGATGCCCCCTTGAATCATAAAAAAAAAAAGTTTCAATCTGTGGTGTAACATTTGCATTTCTGGAGCTCTGTCTGTCTGCTCATGTTTGCCCTCTGTACGAGAATTTGGTCACACGTCTATATTATTTAAGATGCACTCGGCAAATATGAGCTATTTTGATCCTGAGTGGGGTCTCTGCTTTCAAAGTAGTCAAACCTCGGGGAAAAAGACGGTATTAGTATTCGAAGGAATATACGATCTCAGCCTTCCCTCCTGGTTAAAGGCAGACTGGGAGATGTTTAATATGTGGAGCTGTGATTTGTTACACTCGGCTGCAGAAATTGTAGGTAATGGGGTGGGGGGGGTTGTTCTCCTGCTGCTTTTCAGCTGTCACCTCTTTGGATTTCACTCTCATATCTAAACTATTGATGAACACCTTTATTCTGCCACACTCAGGTTTCTAAAACATGCTTTAATGTCTGCTTCTTAATGTGAGAGACCCGTATTCTTCAGCAGCAGCAGCAGCAGCGTTAAATGATGATTGACATGTGTGATTGTTAACTCAAAGCTTGACTTTGACACTGACTGGGAAGCTTCTTTTATTATCTGAAGATGTCTTTTTTTCAGGCAGGATACCATTTAAAGATATACATAATAATGCAAATGACTCAAAAGGCATACTTGCTTTCTTCCTTTAACAGCCACTTCGACATGTTTTATGAACACAGTGAGCTCAGGCAGTTTCACCTCAGTTATTTGTGTACTTATATGTTAATTTCTTACATAATCTATGAAATGTCTGATTCTTTTTAGCAAAGAAGTCTAGATAAAGACGTCACCATGAGGTCATAATACACACAATACAATTTTAAAACCACACAGTGAGCGGAAATGTTAATATTAATGCACCGTCACACTTCTCATGTACCAGTTAGAATTAATACTGCTGAATTTTTTAGGGTTTCTAATTTTACCCACGCTTCTTCTCACACTGACATCATCCCATTTTCCTCTCTTCATCAGCTCCTGCTCCCTCTGTTTCGATTCATCAATTTTTGGCCCATGAGCTATTATGGTCAACCGCTGGACAAATGCATGAATAGTGATCAGAGTGGCAACATTGAATAAGGATGCCCATTTATTTCTATCAAACTTCAAACAAACCTTTTTTTCTTAATTGCTTCTTGTCTCTTTTCCTCGACTCTTTCACCGCCCTACATTGTGTGTTGACATGTCTATTCTGACTGTAAGTCGTGACTAAGTAAAGCCCTTTTTGCTTTCATTACAAGGATGTTATTATGTTTTATAAACGTGCCGGGGAACCCAATCCATGTGAAACCAGTTCACAATAGGACACCCACAATCTCCAGCAAGGCTCGGCGTTGAACACACCACAGAAGCAAACTTCATCCAAGTATCTCTGATTTGCATTTCAGCCTGCTTCACATTCATATCACAAAGCCTGCTTCACATTTCTCAGCTCTGCTCCTTCCAAGTATCAACGGCGTACTGTAAAGTATTAAAATGCTGAGCCAAGAGGCACTCTATTAAGTTAGCCTGCTGGCAGATGGGTTGATTGGGTCAGGATATCTACAGGGCATCACATTTTCTACAGTAATTGAAAAAATACTAAACCCAGGACATTATTCAGTTCTCAAACACACTTTCATTGTGATCCATGAAACGCATTTGCCAAATTAATCATATTTCATTCTATTCTCAAGTGCTAATGTATAATTTTGTTTGACTTGTGTGAGAGCTTCCACCTATGATTCAGATCTGAATTCAATTAGATTCTTTTCCTTTTCATGTTTTTTGCTACAGTCATACAGTTGGCCATGCTAGCTCTTCCAGAAGGCTGTTCTTAAGCGCAATAGTACTTTAGCTAATGTTCACAACATAACATAAACTCTCTTATGTTTAATCTCTATGATTTTATCGTCCCCACCAACTAAGGTTATTGTGCTGGCATGGTAGTGTTTGCCTAGTGGCCCCCAAACCAAAGCTATAGCTGAGGCTGTTGGAAATTTTAATTGTTTTGGACATAGTTGGTCTTGTAAATTTTGACATATGTTGAACTAACAAAATATTTAAGCTACTAAAGGTGTCAATCATGGTTCAAAACAATGGTGCACAAATGCCTGTAAATGCTACTGTTATAATTAGTTAATGGCAATCCTGCCTTCGCCTTGTAATGTCAGCTGTATATTTCATTTGTCTGTGGACGCCATTCAGGCAGCTGTTGTCATTCAATAAATGAGAATTTCGCCCATTGAACAATCCTTAATGACGCCATATTTACATTTAATAACAGCAATGTAATCTCTATGTGTTAAATAACCTCAATATTCCCCGTACATCATGGCAAGCAATGGGGTGTTAGTTAGTGTGAGAGTATCCTGAGACAGTTAGCCTTACAATGCAAAGACAGGAGTCGCCAATTAAAAATGCATACAGCCCTAGACTTCGCCAACAGCAGCAGGAGCAGCAGCAGCTTTCATGACTGCTGCTTGAGACTGAAAAACATTTCCCTCACTGCTTCAAAAGGACACAACTGCCTGTTTCTTCCCTATTGTGTTACCCTTTCACAAGGTTACAGCAGCACATTTGAAGAAGCAGCAGCAGAGGAGCTTGCAGACTCTGCAGCCGGGCCTGTTTCTCTGTGATAGCCCATCACTGCCGTTTATGTGCCAGAGCTTCTAATAGCGGATTATCATGGAGCTGCTCCACATGTTTTGCTGAGGCCTTTGAGTCTTTTCATTACAGAAATTGCTTCATCACATTTCTGTGACTAATCTATAATAGCCAAAATGGTTATAGGCTACATATCAGATTGTACAGCCAACGCAGGGAGGAGTTATTGTTGATGGAGGTGTAAGAAGTGAACATGTAAGGGAGTCTTAGAGGGAACAGTGTTATCAGTTTAGTGCTAACAGTCTATTTCTTTAAACAGTAAAGGACAAACTTGGATCTCAGTGGCTGTCAAAGGTCACTCTTCAAAAACGAAGTTACACTAGAAATGTGCCAAGCTGCCATAAAGCGAGCAACTAGCATTAATCACAGACTGTAAATACAACTTGGTTCCGCCTTCCGCCAGTATACGGATTTGAAGCTGTAAAGCTCTCGGTAATTCCGCGTTTTCTCTCCATTTCCTGAACCAACGTAAACCAACGTAGCGCAGTAGCATTGTACGCACTCCACCACTTGCGCAGTAGCGTTGTACGCATTCGGCGGGAGAGTCACCGAGAGTCGCTGTGATGACGCTCGGCTCAAACAGCGTATCCCAAGATGAGCTACGCAATCTTCGTACACCCATAGGCTGTATCAGGTGTCAATCATAGAAAACACGAACCCCCTAATAACTTTTAAAAACGGAGCTGTACAGATAAAAGAGGACTTGAACACAAACCAGTCTTACAATAACTACATGTCAACATCGCAAGAAAAATGTATGTTCTGTGTAATTAATTTCTAAAGTTGGTCAACAGCTCCATTAGCAGTTCTGGCGAAGGGGGGATTTATGACCTATACTGCAGCCTGTCACCAGAGGGTGCTGTTCTCGGAGTGGCTTCACCCAGTGAGGAGGCAGACGCTGTCCATTCTATATACAGTCTATGGCATTAATGCACTCTACTGTACATAACCAATAATTTCTATAATCAAATAACATCTTCTATTAATCCTATTTAAATCAAAGTTAAAGAGTAGTTTTAAAAAATATGTTTGTTTGTTTTTTTTGCTCTAATTTTGCACATTATTTTTTCCTAAAGTCATCCGTCTAACCAAAGGATAATAGGTCTCCACTCAGACTGTGGGCAGAAAAACACACTGGTCTAATGGGAAGCACTTGCTTGTTTGTCCTGATACCCACTCACCCACAGCAGAGGATTGTGGCTGCCTAAGCCACTAGATCACTAAGCATGCATTAGACTACCAGTAACCTACGCTAAATGGGAATCCAAACAAACAAATAGATGAAAATACCGTGGTTTAAGCCTCCCACATGCACTTGTGCATGAGTCAGCAGAAATTTCAGACCATATGGCTTAAAGCGGGTCCGGAGGAAGATGGATTGTCTGCAGGTTACACAAAAACAACACCAACTCGAGCAATTTCCACAGCATTGTTTACAGTGTTTCATTGCAGGCGAGACTAGATCAGCCATAGATTAACTGAGCTGAATGAATCGTTGCCGGGTCCACACAGCACACTAAATTCAACTTCTTGTGAGGGGAGCTACTAGAAACTGCTACTACAGCCTCAGTGAGCCATGGGATAATCAATGTTTTCACAGAACAAAGGAAACCCTACACAAAATCTGTTCTCATCTAAAGAGTAAGCATTTAAGATGACTTTTTATACCTTTCTTTATAAATTAAATTCACTTTTAACTCAAGTCTTTAAACACAAACAGTAGCTGTTGCTTGTACCGGATATAAAAGGACAGTAAAGTCTGGCTTTTGATTGTCTTCTGGTACAGGAGGACTTGGGCTGGGTGTCTTTGACAGTGTAGGACAGCATGACCCAAAATTGGCTTCAACATGAATGGAGCTTCACAGCAGCAAAGTGAAACCAGGATGTGGGCCTTGTCCCTTACAGTCACTTGCATAATTGTCACAACCTGAGTCCCCTGTAGCAAATAGAGTAAAAAGAAAAACGAATGTGAGGACGTAGAAAATGCTGAATCCAATTAATTAATTGTAACCCGTCGAGAGGGGGCCTGGCTCATCTGCAGAGGAGGAGGAAAGCTATTAAGCAACCTTCCTCAAGAGGTCTGAGCCTAAAAGTCACCTTGGGAGGCCAAATTGACGGGATAAGTGATGGCGCAAACGGGTTGGAATTGGGTATCCGCCAATGAAGGCATGAAATAGTGACACAAAAACAAGTCTTTTTTTGAGATACAAGCAAACAAGGACAATGACGCCGTCTCATTGAAAGTCGCCATCCACCATCCCCTGAACGCCCTTTCAATTAATGGACTTGCTGGGATTGATCTGAGTTGAGAGCAAGTGTGTGTGGAGGACCATGAGCTGCACTCAGTCTGCAGCTCTGCAGCACCAAACCATGTGTCCTTTCTTTCACTATCAGGAGCTCTGAAGCGCTTTTTTTCCCTCTCTGTGCTCCTGTCATGCTCTGTGGATTTCAACATTTTGCGTCAAACGGGGAAAAAACAAACAAACTGAGTCTTTTCTTCACCGGGACCGTGCAGCATCCGCGCGCTATCGGGTGGGCCTTGTGGCCAAAAACCCCCCTCTGTGCTCTACCTTATGTAGGTCATCAATGACAACATCTGCGATATGAAAGGAGGCGTTTCGCCAGGATGTGGTTATTAATGATGTCTTTGCACCGAGGGCTCCTTACCTTCTGCTGTCGTCGTGCCATATCTGTGGGCTGTTTTGCATTGAATGGGTACGCGATGCATCGCATGACAAAAACATACAACTGCAGCTTCTTCTTGCGTTCCTCCTCATCCCTCTGCAGTTTGTCCAAGTCCTCCTTCTCCTCGCTGGCTGCAGACGGACTCGGGCTGGTCGGACGGGCGCTGCTGCGGCTGCTGCTGGGCGCAAGACCACCCGAGCTCTCGCTAGTCCTGCTGGGAGAGATGCGGGATCCGGCCTGAGGTGCCATCGCCTCTTTGGTCTCCTCCTCCACTATCCCATCAGATTCCTCCTCGCTGGATGACGGATCTAACATCTTGCTCTAGATAGGATTCGCCCCTGCAGATACTCGAACCTTCTTTCGGAGGTTTTTTTCCGCCTATCCTCCAATGAACCGTAGTGCAGCTGTCTTATCCGTGCGTAAAATTCATATAAAATACAGGGATCCGGGCCCTGGTTGTACTCGCTGAGAGATGTCAGCAGTACGAGTGGAGCTGGAGGAGGCTCAGTCTGCTTCACACTGAGCTTTCTCCGCCTGCGCCGAGCCTTCGTCGATGCTTACGTATTTTCTCTGCTTTATTGGCCAGTCACTGCTGCGGATGTGAGAGGGGGGAGGTGAGAAGGCAGCAGAGGGGAGGGGCAGGGGGAGTGTAGTGAACAGATAAGGGGATGGAGAGCGGGGTTTTTTTTTTTTTTTTCGTTTTTTTTATTCGGCGAAAGCGGGCGATGGCCTCTCCCTGCCTGCCAGGCGGACGCATGCAGGCAGGCAGGCGCGAGGAGCTGGCCGTGGTCCTGAACACACAATCAGACCACAGAGTGCACGAGTGTGCGTTTTGACGCGTCCTCAATGGAAGTGTAATGTTCTGCAGTGGTACACCTAAGATGGCTGCCACAGGACCTCTCAGATATTGTCACTGAAATGGGGAACATTATTTAGTTGTTTTTTTTTCTTTCTCCCTGTGAACCGTGCACGAGCTGCTGATGAGTGGGTGTTAAGTGTTGAGGGTGGCTCCTGAGCCGTCCCGTGCCGTGTGTCAAGGAGGGATGGGGTGGCATGATAGCCTCCACAGCTCGGGCTCTGTCTGTGGAGGAATTGATAGTTGCAGCATGTGCTGGTGTATCATGGCAGGAAATTGTATTGTGCTGCAGTCACACAAGATATTTCTCTGTTAAATGATTCAGTAGAGTGTCATCTAATTTAGTAGAATAACAGGCAACTGGACAGCGTCTGTCCAAAGCAAACACTAAATATTGTCCTGCAACCCCAGAACACCATCACTATCGCCTGGTGATTTTTACCCAAAATAATATACCCAAGAAAAAGTACTTGTCATCAAAATAGGACAACACATGACAAATTAAAGTAGTGTTCTTTTACTTTCAACTAATGTCCAAAGAGAGGGGCAAAAAAGTGCCATGAAGGGAACATATAAAAATGCAACAAAATAACTGAAATTAGGCATTCATGAGCAAAAAATTCCTAAAATATCTATACTCTCTCGCTTCTCTCTTCTCTCGCCCACCCTGGGCGGTATTGTATCTTTTCAAGCTTGGGTCCTCTACCAGAGGCCCGGGAGCTTGAGGGTCCAGCGCAGTATCCTTGCTGTTCCTAGGACTGCACTCTTCTGGAGTGAGATGTCTGATGTTTCCCCAGGGATCTGTTGGAGCCACTTCTCCAGTGTGGGGGTTACTGCCCCGATGACCACAGGCACCATTGTTGCCTTCACCTTCCAGGCTTTCTCTATCTCCTCTTTGAGCCCTTGGTACTTCTCTAGTTTCTGATGTTGGTATCACTTGGGATGGCGACATCTACCACAACAGCTTTGCTCTGCTGTTTGTTTACAATTACAATGTCCAGTTGGTTGGCCATTACCATTTGGTTGGTCTGTATCTATGTATATATATCTGTATATGTATCTATATATACAGTACAGGCCAAAAGTTTGGACACACCTTCTCATTCAGTGTCTTTTCTTTATTTTTGTATATGACTATTTACATTGTAGATTTTCCCTGAAGGCATCAAAACTATGAATGAACACATGTAGAATTTTGTACTTAAAAAAAATTGTGAAATAACTGAAAACCTGTTTTATATTCTAGTTTCTTTATATGTATATATATATATATATAAACTGTAAACTTAGTTTATTTCCACCCTTGGCACAATAACAGCTGCAGGAGAGAGAACCAAAATATGTCAGATTTTGAGTGAGTAAAAATGACCAGCTGACTAAAATATTTCTTATCACTATATGAATTCCCTTAAAATTACTACTTTGTGATAGTTTTTCATAACCACTGCGCTTAATAAAGATAGCATGCAAATTCCAGGACCACTCTTACTGACCTTATTCGCCTACATGCAGCTATCAAATCCACCCAGACCTACTTTACCCTCTATCACTATTGCCGGGTGAAAATCACCCGAACATGTGCCTGTAGGAAAAAGCAGGTTTTGGATCAGGGAAACAAAATGCCTTCAAAGATGTCAAAGGCAATGCTGAAGCTACCCAGGGACCCATGATACTCAGACAAACGCAACATAATGAAAATCACGTAAACATGTTTGGTCGGGTGAAAATCACCCAGCGATAGTGTTCAAGGGTTTAAAAGAACCGCACTGTCAGTCTATGACATAGTGAAATTATGACGTGCTATATCTCAATAGTAAGGCATCATTTGCCATTTTTAATCATACTCCATGTCCTCTCAGGTCCTTCTAGCATATGATATATCACATTAAATAGTGCAACTGACAATAATGTAATACTATTCTTAAGAGTTGAAAACTTCATTTCCTGAAGTCTTCTAAAGAGTTTAAGAAGACTGTGTCCTAATGTAGTTATTTCTTATGTATTAACATTATAGAGAATGTTCTTAATACGACAATCTTGAGTTTGATTTCAGGAGGTTTGATTTCTGTGTGTAATCTGCATCATGGAGAGCAGTGACTGTAGGTCATACTTACTCTCTGACCCATATAACCAGGGGCCATGTTGTCCTTATTACTGCAAACTAATGAGGATGAATTGAGAGATACATTTGTGCTGACTCTCACTAATGTAAAACACACAGCTGAGAAACAAATTAATGCTTAATATCATCAACACCAATAATGTTTAGGAGTGTAATCTTCAGTGTTGTAATATTAAAACCTAAAGTAAACATTTTGGAAGCTTTATGTCAATCCCCAGTTTTCTGTAACACCTTAAAAAACCCCATGCTCAAAATAACGTCACACTGTAAACCCCCTTATGTTTCTTGGTGCCAATAATACTATTGTTTACAGTGTGAGCTTGTGGACTATGACTGTCTCGGCCACCTTTATCAGCTGAAGTTGTGGAAAATAAACTTTAGACCCTATCTGTTTTTGCATGCACAAGCGCACTCTTTTCACAATGTAACATTTCATTAGATATAAAGCTTCTGTGAGGAACATTCAGTTCACATTAATTTTGGCGCCCCCTGTGGACAAAGTAGTCTTTGTTTATTTTGTGCATCTGTGTGCTCAAAACATTCATCCTGCTGACTTTTGACAGTCAAGTGCATAATTCATTGTGAACAAAGTTGTAAAAATAGGTCTGTTTCTTCAGCTGCTTGGCTAAAGTAGCATCAATGCTTTTTACTTTCATGTTGACTGGGCAGCATTTGTAATTATCTGAAGTATTTATTTGCATTATATCTGAATTTAATTAAAACGATACGAGCGGGTAGGTGCGTCTGTTTGTGGTTGGGAGGGGTAGTGTTTACATTCAAGGTGTCTCCCAAAAACTGGCATTTCCTTAGATCCTGCCAACCCTACCTTTTAATAAGGCCTCAAAGTGACTTTCAGTTAATTTTATGGACGTCAAATAACTCACAAGAGCTTTAAGAGGTAAGAAGGAGGAACTAAACATATTTTTTATGGCAGAGATATGCTTATTTTTATCTGATTTCAAGTTTCACATTATACAGGATATCAACACACGTGATCCTTGTAATGGATGTACCCTATTAAGCGCTTAGTGTAGCCAGAGGCATCTTGGGAAACTTTCAAAGTCAGGATTTGAATTTCCTGCATTCTGTCAAAATAAAAGTCCTCTGCTAATCTTATTGTTTTATTATTGTATTAGTTTAATTGTTTTAGGTAAAGCGGCACAAATGAGGTTGGGATTTCTTTTCTTACCAGTTACATCACTCCTGGGCCCCTGCACTGTGTTCACCTCCCCCCACCATCACAGTCTGTACTGTATACCAGCACTCCCATGACAGCCTTTATACTGTGAGCTCAGCATGCACTGAGGATGAGCACGCCTGCCTGCTTCACCCCCCTGAGACTAAATTCAATCTGACAGCTGGACTGAGTGCTGCAACTCCAGATGTTCCATACATGTCTGACCAGCAAATTCCTCGCTGTCGACAATACTTTCAAGGACTCCTCATGTCGAGTTTTGCTCCAGTGGATCTCCTGTTGTCATGAATTTAGTCTCAGTTTGTGATGGTGCCAGTCTCTAACGGGTGAGGGAGCTGGTAGAGTGACACCCCTCTGTGCTTTGTGACTGCACACTCTTGAAAGATCCTTTGGTCTAGCACTGACATCAGCAACAGAGCTCTCCAAACCTTTTAAACATTAATAATTGACTGATGTTCTCTGCCCTTCCACTGTGGGAGTGTGTACACATTAAATGTTGATGTTCCTCAGTGCAATACAAAGGCCAGCGTCGAAAAAGTACTCATTGCTTTATGTTATAATAACTGGATTGATTTATTTGTTTTTAAGGTAAATTCCCATCGTCAGACTTTTGTTGGCCTGTTTGACATTTCTCCTCATATCATCCATCACTCTGTAGCAGCTACTTATTTTGCAAACCCCGGAAACAGAAGAACTAAATCTGCTGTCGAAGGTGATGTAATGCAAGTAAAAGCTCCAGAACAGCTGCTATAAAGACATTGTGGTGAGGTTGTTTTACTTAACTGCTGTCTTTAAGCACTACAAGTAACTTTATTATGGTGGCCCTGGGGTGCAAAACACAACAGCAAATCAGAAAACACAACACAAAAAGAGATAAAACAATGGGTAATGCCATTGTGTTTTCTGATTTGCTGTTGGTCTTTCGCTTTTTGGGTTGTTTTTTGTTTTCTGATTTGCCATTGTGTTTTTTTTTTTGTTTTTGTTTTTTTGTTTTTTTTTACCGTTGTGCTTTCTCTTTTTGTGTCGTGTTTTCTGATTTATGTGTGTTTTCTGACACTCGTCTTTTCTCTTTTTGAGTCGCTTATTCTGATTTGCCATTGTGCTTTCTATTTTTGTGTTGTGTTCTCTGATCTATGAGTGTTTTCTGACTTCCCGTTGTGTGTTAAAATCACTGTTCAGGACCTATTTAGGAGCACATTTCAGACCATGAAGAGTCAATTGGTACAAAAGAAAAGCAAAAATGTCAGCTGAGAAATCTTTTGTTAAAATTTTGGGGGGGGTCAAGTCATACTTGCACCTGACTAAACACACTTAAAATTGTCGTACTTTTTACTCAAGTACTGATTTTAACACAAAGTGACATTAAGTACTGATTTCGTAGTTACTTTATTGAGTTCAAAGCAATTTATTTATGCTACCATGGCAACGG